TCATAACAAACTTTATAGCATTGAGACCGAACATGTATTGTCTCAAAGGCTTCAACGAAAAGAAGGTGGAGAAGAAAGCGAAAGGTGTTCCAAAGAATACCGTGAAGAAAGATTTAGATATGAACGATTATGAGAACACACTACATAAACACAAGCCGAATAATGTAAATTTCAATGCGATTAGGAGCAAGAACCATCAAATCTATTCAATCAATCAAAGTAAAGTAGGACTGACAAGTTATGACAACAAAAGGTATTGGATGAACGATACTGAAGGTGTCCCTTATGGGCACTATTCCATAATGGGATGAAAAGAAAACAACCTCATAAAGGCTTTCGCTTTTGCTTTTGTCTTTTCTTTAGGCTTACAGTAGGTGACCCAGTAGGTGTTCCTTTTAATTCTTTGATTTCTTCTTCCATCTTTTCCATTTTAACCATCATCTCCTGATGGCTTTTCCACAAGATGGCACACATACGACCATAGTTAATACTCATATACTCATTATCTTCATTAATCACACTTTCAAACTCTTCGGGTATAACCTCTTTAACGTCCTGCGCTACAAAACCTATATTTTGCCTCTTCTTCTTATCATTCTTCATATAGCATTTTTTTAACCTTTATTTGTTTCACAATCTCGCTACAATCAGAATGGACGACATCAATGTCGTCTTTCCCCTCTCATCCGATGTCTCCGTAAGGGCAACGCAGGTGATGTTGTATCCAGAATACATATCAACATCAAACTGAAAGCGTGTAAGCGACCTGTCATAAAACATATAGTCCGTTCGTTCCATCATACCTCCATACGATGTCAAAGTTGGATTCTTGTAAAGTAGGTCAAAGATATGCGCCCTCAATGTATTACATTGTAAGAATTGGTCCGTCCTAACACTAACAATCAAATTTAAAACGTCCAGAAGGATAATTAACATCATCCTTATCATAGTAAGCAAAGGACATCTTGGAAGTCTTCTTGCGTGAATACCTCAAAGAACTTTTTAGATACTATGAGCACTACATCAACGAACCAGAAATAGAAGAGCACCTACAAAAAAATATAGACACTTAAAGAAAAAACACACATATATATATATATATATTTAAAAAATGCCTATGACTGGAGTAAGCGAGGAAGAATTGAAAAGAGATAGGGAGAGACTGTTGAACTTCATAAAGGAAAATCCATATCCTGATTATAAGTTTGTATCCAATGACCTGCTCCTGAAGCAAGAAAAATCTTTACCACAATACGCAGAGTATGGAGAAATAGACCACGATCTTATGAAAACATTTATGAACACATTTTTGACACAGATATTGTTAAAAGAAACGGTGAGATAATACACCACAGAGGAGGAATGACAGCATTACAACAGAACTATTATACACTATTGTCAGTGTTAAAGCACTTGATTGACCAACGAAGTATGGATAGAGAGACAATCATTTTAGTGTTCTACAACATAAAAACGATTGTATCTGAACATTGGGATGGAATAGGAAAAGATGATGAAACATGGAGACACTGATAAATTCATAATACTTTAATTAACCATATTATGAACTAATCCTTTAAACCCAGAACGCCAAAACAAGAGACCCCCCTTAAAAAACATTTAAAGACATAACCCCTTAAACTTATAGAGATACAATGACTGACAAAAAGCAATGTTCCAAGTGTAAGGTCTTTCAACCACTCAACTATTTCAAAAATGAATGTAAGCAATGTAAAATATGTCTGGAAGCAAAGCAACGATACAGGGAGAAAAACCGAGATACATTAAGAGACTATGCCAGACAATAATACTATGGCAAAAATGAACGAACATTAGTATGTCCGGTGTGTGAAAGCATAAGCAAGCATCAAGTCAAGCGACACGAGGAAAGCATCAAACATCAAAACAAAGTAAAAGGAAAAGAACAGCCGAAAGTTATAAGAAATGGGGAGGATGATGAAACTGGACTTATGGGAATATAAACCCAAACCCCCACAACAAAACAAACCTCGTTGAATTATAGCAATGATAGTGAAAGTTATGACCCTAAAACACGCATAACAAGACCCCAGAAAAACGACAAAGGCTCAACACAAATTTTCAAGAGCCAAGAAAATTCAACGAGGTGATTGATGAACCAACACTCCCCAGGACCCCCATTTTACCCTTTTTTGGGAGGGATGGTGGCGAGCGAGGGGAACCATCGAACAGAGAGCCCAGGGGGAAGACGTCCACGAGGGGATTTCATCAGTATTTGGTCTTAGTCTTTGGATGTCTTTGGAGTCTTGAAAGGAGGGGGACTTGGAGGATCCTTTCACATGGGTGTGAGGCTGGAGGAAAGACCAACACAACACAAAGAAGGATCAACTCATCCGCGTGTCATCTTCTCTCGTTCTGCTTCCGCTCCTACCTTCGTCACCGGGCGAATTGAATTTGGTGACCTCTCAGCACTGCTGTGCCAAGGGCAACACCAGCTACATGCAGTACGCGCCGGAGGCCCGGCCATTGGGTGGAGCCAAAACTCCAAGGACCAGGTGTCTGGGTCGGACTGTAACGGGGTTTCCTCACCTGATGGAGAGGTCGGAGGGCTTGTGCGCCAAATATATCTCGCGGAGGCTTTTCCAGGGGTCCAAAGAGCGTTGGAGCGCTTGGGGACAGAATCGTTGTGGAACGTCCAGGTGGAGAATGGCTTCACCGACGCCGAGCTGCGGGCGATCTATGGGAAGCTGGATAAGAACCGGAACGGCCCGGAAGCCGAAGAAGGAGGGTTTGGGAGGATTCAGATTCGAGGCATTTCAAAGACCTTGGTGACCAACCGGTGACCAACCTGTCGATCCTGTCGATTCTGAATGTTCATTTGTCACATTTTGTCACCAATTTCAATTCTTTCTCACTTCCTTTTTGTTGGGTGCCGCATTCAAAGACCTTGGTGACCTTATTGAATCGGACGACACGACTTGAGATTGGCGCCACTGTGAGGGTGAGGGGTCTTATGAATCAACAATCTAGATTAGCGGCTTGACTTGAGGAAGTCGATGTTGGCACCTGGATTTCAACCAAGCATGATCGATTGTCAGAGGGAAAAGACAGTTCCAACATATACACGGTAGATGGCAGCATCGGATGTTTTGTTTGGGATAATATGAACGTTACTGTATCTCTCGCAAGCGCGCGTTCGGGTCCCGCCCGAAGCTTGGAAGTGGGGCCCATGTGCCCATGGGCAGTCAGGCATCGTCTCGAAGCTGGAACTCATTGCAGCAGCTGGGATTGAGACTCTGAGGGAAGTCTGTTGGATGGGTTGGTGGAGCAAATCTTTGTCTATTGGCAAAAAAATAGGGTTGGATGGAGTTGGTGGATCATCCTGGATTGACTAACATGCCCCAAGTATTCATATCTAGTTGTTGTTCCAAGGACGATGACAACCGGGTGAGCAGGTGCTGCCGCGGGTGTATCGAACCAATTGGGGAAGAAGGAGAATACGCAAAAAGCCTTAGTTTTGGTGGATTGCTGGTGGCTTGGCAGGCACAGGTGGCCCAAGCATCAATTGTCATGGGCATCAGCACTCAAAAGACGCGTATAGATCTTGAGTGGTGTGAAATCCACGTTCAATCCGGGCAATCAGACAAGGCACTTCATGCCTTTGATGCCCAGATGTGGACAGACCAGTCACGACCCTTGTCCGCCTCGCATGAGAGGAGACACCGGTCGGTGGGTCGCCCAGCGACACCGTGACGCACCGATCGAGGCAGTGAGCCAGGAGAAGAGCATTGCTGACATGCTGGGCGCCGGGGCGTCCCAGCTACCGATGTGATGCAACCCTGGTGGTGGCCAGAAATAGTAGGGGCTTGACTTGGTACTTCCTGGTACTTCTAGGGCACTATCTTAAAAAAGAAGGAGCTTTGCTATTTATTGCAGATGGTGGCAAGAGTGGCAGATTTCAAGGAGGTTTTACCCAGGCTTGAACACTCAGTCCGAAGATGGTGTTCCGGACTTCATCAGAAATGGGTGAAACCTCCGAGTTCACAACCGAAGAGACTGCTCAACTCGGCACTTCTCAGATTGATGGAGAGTCGCTTCTCAGCGACGAGAAGAGCTTCGACGAGCTCCATAGCTTGTTCGAGGTGCCGAACGGGTGTCGTGGGCAGGTCGTGACTCGGGTCTTTCCATCCAGACAGCGCGTTGCTGCCGAACGGGTCGAAGACTGGACGGCCGGTCCCGCAGTAAGAACCGCTCTCGCCCAGGAGATTTCGGCCGGGAAGAAGGGCATTGACTTCGAAGCGTTTGCGAAGCATGTCCGGAAGGCCAAGGGTCGACCCTGTTGGTGGTTTCTTCCACCTCCGCGCTAGGAAGGTCTACCTGTAATGAAGTGGGGTTGTCCCAAGTCGAACACCAAGTCGCTACTCTACTTAGAAGATCTTAGAAGGTGCATGGCTAATATGGCTAGACGGATCGCTGAGAATCACCATTTTGGCCTCGCAACATTTCCCTTGGTTGCTCGGCTGTGCCATCAACAGGCCTGCGCAGAACGAACGCCCAGATCGTTGGGCGGCCCAGTGATTACCATGATTGAGGACGTGACTGCGTCTTTTGGAACAGTCAATTCACTTGAAAGACCACCACATCATTTTTTTTTTGGCAATTCAATGCAATTCACTATCTGTGACAAAGAACACCATAGAAACTTAACATTGTTATATTATATTGTTTCACAATTGCCTGGTATGATCATGAAGGACCTTTGGACCTGTTTGTTGCTTGAACGCCCTGTTTGTTGGTTGGTGTAGGGCAGTGTATTGTTCGGGATGGTGTTGTTTGGGTTCTCGTGCTCAGCAAAACTCCACAGTTGATGCCCTCAAAGATGGGGTCACTCTCCACCTGTCGAGGAACCGGATGTTAGAGATCTTCAATCTCATCGTCTTGGCCTTGAGTGGGAGTGGGAATGGTGCCAGTTGGGGTGGATTCAAAGTGTGATATGACTATGATGGCTCATGCAGCTTTCACTTGCACATGAGTTTGCACTGGCAACGATCTGGTGGACACCAACTAGGGCTCATGGGAATTGACAGGAATTCAATGACCCGCTGAGATGCAGATGGAGACCCAACAGGTCATTGCGATTGATGACACACATGTTGCGAGGGCCCTTCGTTCAACTCTCCTCCATGCACCATGGGCTCTGCCTGCCGGAAGTCTCTGCCGGCCGAAACGGGCTCAGACACCACCGCTGGTGCGGAGCAAGCTGAGCAGATTCCGGTGGTTCACCCCGTGGAGGAGAAGATTGTGGAGCGGCCGGGGCCTGGCCTAGGCAGTTTGGTGCGGGATGTGGGGCGTTGGCACGCTCCGGTGGTGATCCTGGACGTGGGGAAAGGCTTGAAGGGCATCAAGGCCAGGGGTTTGCGGGGGTTGTTTCACTTCGGAGAATGGAGGAGGACTGAGGAGGTGACTTCTGGACGCTTTTTGTGTAGTTTTCAATGGTTTCCTCATCAGGCGAGCTTCTTTAAGCTTTTCCCACGGGGGAAGTTCATGAGCGTCACCGAGTTCTTCTCAAGCGAGTCGTTGCTGGGCCACTGCATCGTTTTGATCCATGGGGGGGGCGATCACAAGAACTACCTGGGGGAGCCTGAACGAGAGAAGCTGGTGGAACACCTCCGCAAAGGTGGAGTGTGTGTTGGGCAGAGAGGTTGATGCAGAAAGAGTATCTCTAGACAACCACCCTGGGCCATCAGACAGATTCGTTTTGTTGAAACATGTTGAAACTAAACTAGAGGACTGAACAAGGCTTCTGGATACAGGGATAGCGACCATGCGTTTTCAGCTTAAAGAACATACTCTAAGTTAAAGGCGGCTTGCATCTTTATCTTTGACCACTGACAGGTGGATCCCTGTTGACGATTTCCGCTGGTGGCACCTTTTGCGGCTGCAACCAGAACTGCCTCTCCCTGCTGCCCATCTGGGCCCACGAACGACCACATTGGCAGCGTGGCACGGGGTCTGTGAAGCTGAAGCTGACGGCCTATGGAGAACATCTCCTGCCGGATTTCAAAGGCGGGGAAGGTAACTGGAGAAATGGTTACTGTACCGATTCCCACATTGGCCAATTTCCCTCTGCAGCTTCACTTCCGACGGTGAGTGGATGATTTCTCATTGGGCAAAACACTTTAACATGTTAACATGAAACACATACATGACTAGTAACAAGTGCATCGCTAGTAGTAACAAGTGCCTTACTAGTAGTAACAAGAAGCTAGTAGTAACATGACAGTGTCGTATTGATGTTGGGTTTTGGAGACCATGCTTGCGGGCAAGCGACGTGTCCGGAGATCGGTCAGTGACGCCAAGACGCCGACATCGGCAGCCTTTGAAAGCAATATAGGGCTTTCCTTTCCTCCTTCATTCTCCAAATGGTCCTTCTACCTATGGCCTTCCCGGCCTGCGCAAAAGTCCACGTCTTGTCATCTCTTCTCACGCCCGAAGGTTTAGAGCTTGAATCCCAGTACTACAATGGCCCCCTGCTGCTGCCTGTGGCGGAAGAGGGATGGGGGGCATCCTTAGAGCTCCCACTGCCAATCTTCCCACTCCTCACCTACCAGACAGAGATGAACGAATGCCACGCAGTCCGGCAAACACAGTGCGGGCATGGCCAATTGAAGGAGATGGGCCCGGGATGGGTCAATCATTTGTAGGGCTGTGAGTCAAAACCTTCCCAACCAAACAATGTTAGGTTGACATCCCTTAAAGAGGAATCGGAATCTGTTCATTTTTGGGGGTCAACCAGGGTAACCGGTGCCATGACCCACACCCAAATGGCCAATACAGTCCGAGTCCTGGATCTCAAAGTTCGAAGACCTGCTTGTTTGGCAAGACCATTATATGTAGTATTAGAGCCCTGTCACTCATTGCAGCGCCTCAAAGATGACCACTTGTAAGTGGGAATCCTTTGTATAGCCAACTCGGACTCCGCCACCCAAACAAACAGACAGACACCCTCTCGCCACAGATGGATGAAGCTAGACTCGCTTGACAAACACCATCTTCGGGTTTGCACCAGCCCGTTTCGATGCCTTTCCAAGACATATACCACAGCATGTGGCCAACGCACGACTCCTGGGCTTTTCACACCTTTTCCCCCTCCTCCTTCATCCACTTGGACGAGCTGCAGAGTGTCCCACCCCGGTGGCGACGAGCTATATAAGTCTCCGAGGCTTCGCGCTCGCTGCTGGGGATGCCTGCGGTGCTGGGCGGTGAGCTGGGCCTCCTGGGGGGGACGCTTCGTGGTCTTTGGGCCCAACGTCGAGGTGAAGCCCTCAGCGTCTTGGCAGATCGTGTCAAAAAACCGGAGGAAAGCAGAGATGGTATGACAGCTTTGGTGTTTGTATCGATGGAGTTAAGACAACAGGGATGGTCCAGAAGGATTTGGCGGGGCTAAGGTGTTTTTCTAAAACTCCCGTTGCTGCTTCCGTCACCTTTGAACCAGATGAAGCTTCCCAATTGGCCAGCGGTGCTTTCACACCCCACCGGTGTGGCCTCACGTCCGACCGCACCTGCTCACCCACACCGCTGCGAGGGGCCCCGTGACGTGGAAACGAAAGACCTCCAGGAGTCCATGCTGCTCTTGGTCCAACGCCTGGCCTCCTGGCTCTCTGCCTCTCCTCAGCTCCGCGCGCTTTCGGCCGCGGGCCGCGATGCGGGGGTGGAAGAGGCCGTCGCTGCGAGGCCGCTGTACAGCGAGGTGCACGTGGCGGGGACAGAGCGTGATGGCGGAGAGCTTTTGAGGCAGGGGGAAGAGCAGGTCAGCGATTTTGATGGATTTTGATGATATGAACAAGCTGCGGAAAGCAACAGAAGTGGTTGGCACTGGTCACCAGTAGTCGGAAAGGGTTTGAGTTGAATTGTTAAGTTGTGACTGCTTCAACATGAGGTTTTGAGGCGTTTGGATTCTGCTCTCCTGAGGTTTCCTCAGCCTTCGGCCTATCCTGCCCTGGCAGAAGATCAGATCTCCGCCAGCGAGGTGGACGAGTTTAGCTTGCCAGATTGCAGGTTGGCCATTGTGGATTTAGGGAAAGGCTTCGAGCAGCTAGAGGAGCGGTATGTGCTGGGACCATTGGCTGAAAGGCAGCCCTTCGTTTGAACAAGAAGGAATGCATGCAAATCCTCAGAACTGAATCCCCCCAGAGTTGTGTGAAACACACACTGTGTGTGAGAGAGAGACACACACACACACAGACACAGAGTCACAGAGTCACAGAGCACTTGCAGATCATGACTGACAGCCCACTCAGAGGAGATCTTTTCTCCGCTGGTGCCAGAATCTCAACGGACCACTGTTTCTCCTCAAGACCTGCAAGGCGCTGTGAGCCCAGGAGACGTGATTTTTCTCCACGGCGGCATGGCCAATGAGCATGCCGAGCGCTTGGGAGTCGATGGGCGGAGGCTGATCCGACAGCACCTGTGCAGTGGTGGGGGTGTGATGGGCGTTTGCGCTGGAGCCCATTGGCTCTCATGCCGAGACCTCCCTTTGTGGGGGCATATCTTGCCAGCCGTGCCGCATGACAACAAAGATTGGAGACGCGGCATTGGCGAGGTGAGCATCGCCCTGACGGTGGAAGGACAGCGGCTCCTAGGCCTGAAGGACTCCTCCATGTCCCTGCGCTACGCGAATGGACCCTTGTTGGTGGCACTGCATTCGGAGACGTATCAGAACTACCAGCCTGGCCGGGCGACCGAGGAGGAGGAGGCGAAGCTCGCGGGGCCCGGAGCGGTGCCTTTGGCGGTCTTCTCCGACTGCGCAGATTCGAAGATCACCGGTTGGACGAGCATGAAGGGCCATGCTGCCGCATGGGCGTGGTGTACATCGCAGGGAGGTCGGGTGATTGCCCTCTCGCCCCATCCGGAGTATCACCAGACGGCAGAATCCCGGCACCTCTTCAGGAGGTTGCTCCTTTGGTGTGCCCATGCCTGTCCAGGCTGAAATGAAGCGCGCTGAGGAAGACATGTCACACTCGCGACTGGATCTTGACCCCAGGTTACCGGCTTGCACCGCCCCTAATTAGCTCTTGATTTCTTGTTGCACCAAACATCTGAAAGAATCCCTGGCGAGGCTTTGATTTGATCACATCAGTTCCAAGTCTTAACTGATGCATCTGAAGCATTGAACCAACCAGTCTTCAGGCGTTTGGAGGATGTTTTCGTTTTATATTTTTTGCTGGTTTTTGTGTGAATCTGTGAGCATTTGTCGCATCGCCAGATGTCCCAAGTTATACAGTTCTACAGGTGAAATCATGTTGAACCTTAAACCAAGGATTAGCTGAGTTGGTCCAAACTCAGCGAACGAAGGGTTTTTCGAGACTCCAGTGCACCGTTCCGTTTTTCGGCGCTGAGCGCGGCCCCCCCCTTGTGCTGCTCAGGATGCGGACAACAGCGGCTCCATCTCCAAACTGGAGCTGGTTGCGGCGATGCAAAGCGGGATGATGTCGGCCATGACGAAGTGGTCGGGTTTGGTGGTCGGGTTTGGTAGTTTCGTCATAGAAGATCCATTTCAGGGGATCCCATTTCTTTGTATCGGAGGTTTGTCTGCCTCTCTCGTTCTCTCATTGTATTCCTGCCTGGCCAACTTGCGCCAGATAACCCTTCGGTGGACGAGTTCCTCATGCCGGGCGTCGACAGCAGCCGGGTGCGCAAAGAGCTCCGGGATGCGTGGGGTGGGTGGGAGCTGGGGTTTGAGGTGCTGTCGAAAGGACCTCGGTGAAAGGATTGGTTGTGGTCAACGCATGCAGAAGGGGTTGCAAAATTGATTCATGATTGGAAGGATGTTTGGGAGGGTCTCATTGTTGTTGCCGGATAATTTCTCATCGTGGATGATCAATGATGATCATGGTATTTTATTTCGAACGAGTGGGGAGAGGCTGCGGATGTCATAAATTCGGCGACCGATCTTCGCAAGACCAGTCGCCATCCCCTGTTGTTTTTTCCTTTTAACAGTCATTTCAGGATTTTCATGTCCCGTAGTGAGGGCAGCCCAGCCTTGGGCCCAAAAGGATTCCCCAAAGGGCGAGCCGATCTTTGGCTGAAGAGCACACGACCTTGGGCATCACTCTTTAGGACTTCTTTGGGCGTTGACCAGCCGGTCCTGGAATTTTGCAGATTCCGACCTTTTCAGATCATGGATGATGAGAATCTCTTTGAGAAGATCGATGGCCTGTTCGAGGTGACGAACACGGAAACGAACGAGAGACAGAGAGAGAGAGAGAGAGAGAGAGGAAAAGAGGGGAAGGGAGTCTTTTCTTTCCCGGTCGAACCCCATGTGACCGTGTATTTGGGAGATAGTGGTTCTTTCTTTGTGGAATTTGGTCGCGAGTCGCTACAGCGATTCTTTTGGTTAGGTTGTGGGGGCCCACCTGACACCTGGACTATATACTAGAGTGAGAAGGACCTAGACCTGGAAAGAAAGATCTCCTGCTGTTTCGAGCGGACCTTTGCGGATATTGCTAAGAAACTGCAAGGTGCGAAGGAAACCGAGCTCAAAACGAGGGGCAAAGGAAGTAAGCTTGTCGAACCAAAGGGCAGCAACCCGAAAGGTTCTCATCTATATTTCTTTTGAACTGCGTGGAGTTCCGAAATATTAGGACAGACACACGTAGGCCGTATTGGCCTTGATACAAAACGCAATGATAGGCAGAGTAAAGCATTACGTGAATCCTGCAGTTGTTACCACCAGCATTGTGATTTGTCAACATGACTTGAGTAAACACGACAAACCACCCTAGAAGAAGAACAAGTGGCATCGAAAACCGTCACCATCTTCTGGCGCATCATCGCACAGCCGGCTCATCATGAAATGCGACGGAGTTTAATCACCAAAGTTGAATGACTGCTTGCAGCTCTAAATGTCCAAAACATACTCTTCAAGATTGTTATTTGAGACTAGTACTTTTTTCAAAAGCAACCCCTGCGCTTCTGCAATTTTGTTCGTCTCATACCGCAGCAGCATCCAATGATTCAGCTTGCAAAAGATTGGCAAGAAATCTACCAGGCACTTCATTCGTGTAGGGAAATCATGCAGAGAGTTGGCAGCCACGGCTTGTTGGGCCCTAAATCAAAAGGCCCTGTCTTGGTTTCACAGCAAAGGCACCCGTCGAAGGGTTCACCGGATGGTAGCCTTTGACGATGGCGCTTTGCTGGATTCGTGTGGGGCTTAAATTCGGAACCCAGAGCGGACCGCCTTGACATGTGGCACCTGTATTTGACCCCATACGGCACCTCTCCCAAGCACGATCAGAAGCAGCTGCGAGGGGAACTCCGAATCTTCAGTTCATTCTGGCACGGTGCTGGGGCTTTGGGCTTGGCTGATCAAGCGGTCGCACGGTGCTTGAGACGTGCTCAGTTCCGATGTCCGGGTCGCGACCCCCCATGGCCGACCACGGTGCCGAATTTCGTTCGGCTCCACCGGCGTTTGGGCGAGCGGACTTAGGCCGCTGAGCGACACCCCACGGGCGAAGAAGATCGTCTACTTGGCAACTCGCCCGGACAGCGCGGGCTTTGTGGGGAAAAAGCCAGGTGACACGGTCAGGAGTGCTTTTGTGGGGGGAAAGAGATTGTGTGTTCATGTCAGTTGAGTTCCTCGTGGTGCGAGTCCGGTTGCAGAAGAGATTTTGAGTTTGTTTTTAAAAAACTATTTTTTAAAGGGAACTTACATGTAACATCATGTAACGCACTGTCAAGTTGAGGATGGGCATGTTCATGCAGCATTGATCAACCTGCGGGCAGCGGGGGACGCACCCAGAGAAGGGGTAAAGCATGGTAAAACCTTCCCGAGAGGTGTCAATAATCTACACAGGTCTAGCTCGTCTGGTGCCACTCACAACAAGCGAATCTGCTGGCTTCGCCCGCAAGAAATTCTCCAACCCGCAAGTGCTTTGCCGAAGCAGGCATGGCATTCTACGTTGCGCCCAGATGGTTGAGCTGTGCAAGTACTGGTACGATGTCACACTATAGTATACAAATCGATATGTTAAAAGTTGAAACTGATCCTATTGAGTGTAGCTGACCCATGCTGATCCCAACAACATCCAGCCAAGCTGCTGCAGTTGTAGCCAGACTTCCTGACCACACACAGCTCCATCCACTCGCGCCGCTTAGGTACGCCATGCCGAGTCCATGGAAAACGATCCGAGTCAGCATTTTTATCGTTGTTTCCTTTGTCGCGGCATCTTTGAATGGCCGGGGATTGCTAGAATGTGTATAGCGGAGGACTGAAAGTTAGAATGCCGTTTTGGAAAATACCAACGTTGATTTCGACGTTGGCGGCAATCTTCGACAACACGGATAGAATGCCGTTGCACCCTGTAAAACCCACAAAAAGAACGACCCTTCCGACAGATCAAACAGATAGAATGCCGTACGGGGGCGCGTTTATGTGTTGATATGCGTTCATTGCTATTGTATAGGATGTATGGGGAAGGCATTCTCCTGCTGGAACGGTATTGCTAAACTTCAGTCACAAGGAGTGTCTCGAAGCAAGAAACAATACAAAAACACACACGTATATACTAACGGACCGGACCGAAAGTTTAATGCGTGGGTTTCAATGTATAGAAATAGAATGCGGCTCAAAAACCGCCAAAACGAGAGATAGAATGGGTTGGAACATGTTTGAACAGTTCAAATTTGAGTAGGCAATTAGAATGCTTGCATTCACCCAACTGCATTTCTCCATGTCTTTAGCCCTTAGCGCTTTGTTCTTCTCTTTCCCTCCAGTCCCTTGCGATGCTTCTCTTGTCATGAGCCTCCTTTATATATCTTTGCCTGGTGCGGGGCATTCTAACTGTGCAGGTTTCCTTGCTATGTTCTTTGCCCTGTCTCTCCGGAAAGCTCCTGGGCAAGGGCTCTACATGAGATTGTCTTCTTAGGTGCCCTGTCTTTCCCGTCCAGGTAGCCATCCAAGCCACAATCATGAAATTGCACTTTTTTCCTCACCTGTCAGGTGAGGGTTGTTGGGTTTTATGTCAGCTGCCGTCCTCGACCTCCTCCTCCTCCTCCTCCTCCAGGCATACATAGGGTCTCTTTCCCCATCAACAGCTGGTGTCACTCCTGCAGAGTGCGACTTCTTGACATCCCAGACTGAAAGCTCCCACAATCAGGGACCCTTCAGTTTCAGCGCCGGTCCCATCGGGAAAGGATCGAATCGAAGCCTCGGAAGCCGGCAGTACTATAGCAAGACAGAGTTGTTGCGTCCAGTCCCTCCAAGAGTCAGATTCCGGGGATCGTGCACCAAGCAGTTTGCCGGAAGAAGGTCTGCAGTGGTGGGTTGCCCTGAAGTATGGGGCCATGTTTCCACGACACGCATGGGCAGAAATGCAAGGGCAGAGTTGACCCGAAGCCTGCAACTCACAGGTTTTCTGCTTGAGTGTTGTTACAATCTGTTTGCCATTCATGCAACTGCAAACTTGACGCACCATGTATAAAGCAGGTCCCACCAGCCGCAGAGCGGGGATTAGCAGCGACATGTTATATCATGGAATAATAATTTGTCATCATTCTTGCTAAAGACTCATACATACTCATACTAACCCTCCCCCGCCTCCTGCTCCTCCTCCTCCTCCTCCTCCTCCTCATCATCATCATCATCATCATCATCATGACCATGCTGGGCTCTTTGACAAGTATTGGGTAGTGATTGAGCAGTTTCTCCGAGCACATACATTCTCATTGTCATCTCGGGGTGCTCCCCATAATGAAAGATATTGAAGGCAACAAGAAACACATTTGTTCCTGAACAAGTCAGTTGAGGAACGGGTGCATGCCTACGACCGCTTGCGGCGCCGCCTGGTGAAAAAGAGAAACCACTTCACGTGTTCTTTCGGGCTCTAGGTCATGCTGAACAGCTCACCGAACGTTGACGGGGTCGGTGGGGTTTCGGCACGTTGAAGGAGGTGGGTACCCGGTTTCTGCGCTCCTTGGCCACTGGGTTCTTTGAGCCAAGGAGTCGAAGGAGTGATTCTTTGTACGGCCTCACATTTGTTCGGTTGGCCAACGGTTCTCAACGGTTCGCCGGTTCGCGTCTCCTTTTTCACCACGTATATAGCTGCCATTAGCTGCCTTGAATTCCGAATCTCAAGCGAACAACAATGGAGAGCAATGGCTTGGCAGTGGGCCGAAGCAAATTGTCATGATGTCATGAATACACCACAAGGTATGGGGTCAAAGGAGGTGTTTTCAGATGCGTGCCACAAAGTTTTCCCGACGTCCTCTGTAGCTTCGGCAGGAACAAACAATCCTGCTAAGTTAGGGTGTTTGCGCAACACAACATTTTTTCTTGATTTTCTTGTTTCTACTTCTGCAGAACTGAATCACTGTTCTCTCAGCGAAGTTGTGACGTTGCTAGACGTCTCACCAGTCACGCAGGCGTTGATTTTACTCGCAACGCAAGTCAACGGCCTTTTTGACATTTGGGCAAACATTCTCAAACCCGATGCAACGAGAGAGAGGGAGGGAGGAGGGATGGAGGGAGGGAGGGAGGGAGGGAGAGGGAGAGAGAGAGAGAAGTGCTCCCGTGCCCTAGGCGACCTCGCGCGGGGAGATTGGCCCAAGGTGACTGATGTGGCCAGCGCGCTGCAATTGCTGTCCTTCAACTTGGACACGTGCCTCGGTGACGATCGTTGAATGACATGACTTGCCACCACGGTTGATTATATATATATATATATATCGACTTTGAGTGTTGGAGTGCCTGGACTTGTTGTTGGGAGCACTGAAGAGGGGGTAAACATGCACGAGAGTTCTTCTCCTGTCCTCGGTCCTTGAACCCAGACTCTTGCAGCTTTTGCACCGGTTCCTGACCTTACCCAACTATTTCCCTCATTGTGGCCATGCCTATCCACGATCTCTTCAAACAGTTCCCCAAGTGTCGATGCAGTGCCACGTGTGGGACCATTGGCCACGTGCGTGGACGGCCGTGACCAGGGAAACCAAGCAGTGGCCCTGGCAGTTGTGGGTCTCCAACCTAAGGCCCTTGTCTCGCCGTGGCGAAAGGCTCCTTTGGCGGAAACGGCCGGCACGGTGCTGCTTTTTTTTTGCGCACGGCAACGCGGGATCTTTTCTTTAGTTAAACGTGCATTTGAAGTATTTGCCGAAATTTGCAGGGATAATTCCAAGTGGTTTGAGTGCATTTCAGGGAAGACGGCACAATTGTTGGCTTGGAAAAGGGTTGGTCTGTGCAACAGACAGCAGAAGATGTCTGAGACAAGAAAGAACGACATAATAAGTGTAGAGACACCCTGCTCCAAACATCATATTCTTCCTCCTAGATGGGTGGTGGATCTCAGGCTGCGGCTGCACCGGTTATTTATTTGAATCCAAACCTTTCAACGCTCAATTTCTAGCATAGGAGGTAGGTGAACTTCCCTGCTAAGGGAGAAAGACTTTTCTCCCATCCTACTGGGACAGTTTCCATATGTTTCCATACGATGAACCACTTAGCTGTGGACTCCGTGTGTTGCTTGACCGGACCAACCGCTCTGAGGCAGCTTCAGGACATGAAGGACCGTCGCTGATGTCGTCGTGTGTTTCCTCCCTGACGAATTCCATCTTGATCCAAGTGGACCAAGAGATGTTGGTGTTTGTTCTTTTTCTACGTCAAGATGCATTAGACCTTGCAGAAAGAGCTTGCTGCGACAGGGCACTGGGACAGGGCAAAAGTTGGTGTTCTTTCAGGAACCAGCTCTTTCAATGCAACACGTGAAAAGCAAATCATGGAAGCCTACTGTTGGCAAAAGGATGGGCCCCATCCGAGTATTCCCTTCCCCAAAGTACCGTACTGCAAAAGGCTGCCTGAACATGTCTAATATAGAAGCGTATTTTGAGAGGACCGATGTTGCCAAATCACCCAGACCCGCAGCAAAGATATCATCACCCTTGCAGCAGGAGCAGCTGCAAACTGCATCCTTCCTGCAGGAGGCCAGAGCGCATAGGACAAACCTCTATTGACGCGGTGGGAGCTATGTCAGCTTAGACGAAACGAATCATGTTTACAGTCCCTTCCATGGCCGACACATCTCTCACCGAAATAAAGCATGTTCAACAGCCTTTAGACCAGCTCCGAATTGCTCGCTTTCGGTTTTGAGGCCTATTCTTGTCATACCCCTTGCGGCTTTCCGTCTATTTTTTCAATTTCACGCACTCCTCTTGAACTCTTGCTTGGCTTGAAGAAGCAATTTTGGTTGTTCTGGAGGCCTCTCCAGAGCTGCTGGTCTTCAGCCCCTTGCAGCGCGCCAAGAGGACGGCGGAGGTGCTCTTCGGCGAGGAGGCGCACGAGGGGCTCAAGAGGATCTGAAGTGTTACTGTTAGTAAATGTTAATCTGTACCGGCTTGGTTTGGGTGGATTTCATGGCATTCCCATTTTGGAAAAAGGCACCAACCAAAAACCACCAAAAACACAGAAACACCGGGATCCTCGGAGACTTTTTGTTGAGTAGATCAGATAGATGCAGGGGGTGTCAGCAAGCGCAGCCCCCGAGTCAGGACACGAATGACTCAGGTAGACATGAGGATAGCACAGACTCCACAGGCTCAGGCAAGAATGCGGAATTGTTCATTGGTATGAATTCAGGATCAACGTGAACAAGCCTCCAAAGATCTTCAAAGCTTGGGAATGTAGGAAGAATCAGTTGCACGATCCGGCACCCCACCGATTCTGCTTCACTTGTACTCTTCTGACCAAAAGCTGGTCATGTTCGTGTCGTTGGCGCCCGCATGCCAACCCCCGGCATCAGGTTCCCAAGGAGGCCCGGGAGTCCTTGGCAGCGAAGCTGTGATGTATTCCAGCTATCCAGTGATTAAGGATGAGTGAAAGATGGTTGATTGATCTTGTAACCATGTTTCAAAAGGTTTCAATAAGATGTCACTATGCATTGATGATTAGATGTTTGATGGCTCCAGTTTGTAGGACGGCGCAGAAGTGGCGCAGATGGGATTCTTAGAAGTCCACGAGTTTACCAGAAATCGTCCACATCATTGCTGGCGATGTGTCATTAGTCACTTTCATTTCTGTGCGAGTGCAAGATGGTCTTTGCGACTGCAGGCCATGAAGAGCTTAGTCGAGCGCACCCCATACGAGGCATTTTGTGCCTTTTCAGACAATGTCGCACGGTGTTGGGGAGTTCAAAGATTCTCATCGATGATTGAACAGCACCATGTATTGGGCCATGGGCACCCGCGATGGTGGGTTGCAGTGGCTAGGATTTGCCAAGCCGTAGCAAATCAATGGTTGTTCATGTCCACCTGATGGCAGTCACTGACCAAAAAAACCGCACGTGTTCCTCATCCAACTCCACTCCAGCTCACTAACATGGAAGTGGATTGCATGACGCCTGGCAAGGCGAGTTTCCGCTACAAAGAAGCATTTTTTGGCCTCCGCTTTATGCATGCGTTCATTAGAGTGTAGTCCAAACATCCATACTGGCTGGGAGCGGCATTCTCAACTTCTGCTGATCAGGCAAACATGGCAGTTCCATGGTATTGCTTCCGAAGTGGAAAAGACATCCCAAAGGCGAGAAAAGGCTTCCTGTGGCAGGAGACGTCCTTTTCTTTGATCCTAACTTTTGTCGACCAACGTCTGGCCTTTGGTGTCGACCCGCCGGGGAACGTGCCTCGCCTGGACGTGCTTGTGCCTTGTCGCCTGGACAACCAAGGCTCTGAACAATTTCAAGAGCGCCTCCTGGGTTTCAAGGATGGCGTCGTGGGGGGTTTCAGATGCGAGCACTGAGACGCCAGGGAGTTTGGGGCTGAAGTTTTTGAATACACTAGGTAAACATATGTAAACATATAAGTTAGCTAATGGACGCAGGGGTGCAAAATTCCAGAATATTATCAGCAGTGCATGTTGGACTCTTGGACGGTGTGATTTGGATTTGCATCATTTGTACGAATGCACACCCGAGTAGTTGCAGAATCAACAGAGTCCAGACAAAAGTCCTTCACCTTTTCTCCTGCTTTAGGGACTTTCATGTCACAGCATCACCTGCCAGTCACAGCAGAGCAGTGACAGGACTGGCTGGCCAAGATCCCACAGAATCGCGTGGTGGTGGTGTCTCGGACTGATGGATGCCCGAGACGAGACGGTTCTCCTCCCCCGGCGGCTCCGCGGCGGGTCCCAAGATGCTGGGACTTTGGATGTTCATCTCGAATCCTCTGAACATCTGCAGGTTTGACAGGAAGGTTATTGTTATATATATATATAAATAATATTTTATACATAATCCTGTTATATGTTCATGCTTCTTCGTGTTATATAACAGGATTGACACTCACAGGTGTGTGTGCTATTCCATGGAATGCCAACCCATGGACCACCTTCTCGCGTAGGAGCTGTTTGTAATGAGAGGATGTTTCGGTTTGCCCCTTTTGCCACACAGGACATGATCACCTGTCCTGCTAAGTTTCTACTGACTCGCCCGCTGAAGTCTGAATCCTGAAGCTGGGCTGGTAGTGATAGTGAGAGCCATGTAGCGAGTTGGACTGTTCCCAGGTGGCTCACTGTCAGTTCTTTGCAAAGCTCTTGGGAAAAGGCAGGGAGCTGCCTTACAGGTTTGGGCTCCTGGTGCGGCCAAAGAAAGCCCCCCTGGTCATTTGGCAACCTGAAGAAGTTCAATGATTCCCCAAAACCTGTTAGGGGTATACCTTTCTTGGCTTGCTGAAGTCTACCTGATGAAAAGACTTGCCAGTGGGAAGTGGATCTCGCTTGATGGGCACTGATTCCATCACGACATCTTGAACTACTTGACTACCTCTTGGATCCGCTTGGCGGGTGCTCGGACGTCAATGCCAAAGGTGTCCCACGATCCGGACGGAAACACACCTCGTTTCCGTGGCTTCTCCCGGTCCGCCCCAATGCCGAACGCTCGTTTCACCATCGCCGTTTCACCACGGCCAGGCTGCGGGATGGAGCGGTATCTCAGCAACACCGAGGTCAAGCGCTGCATCTTCGACCCCGAAATCGGCGTTCCTCGGACGCGGACGCGGAGACGGAAGACGCGAAAGGGGTCTGAAGACCGGGGTCGGCTTAGACAGACGGAAGGTTTTGTTCGGCAATTGGAGGGTTCCTGAGATCATAGGCTTTTGATGGTTCTTGGGTGGTGCTTTCTGATGGAGCAACCAAAGATAGGACCCTTCTGCAGTGGCGCGCTTTTTCTTGGCGCATCAAAGGCAAAAGTAACCGCCTGTCTGGGCTACTACTAGAAGAAATCAACCTGCTCAAAGTAATTACTGTGTCGAAGGGGGTGGCACAGCTATCTCCACCGAACCTGGTAGCAGATCACCATCTTCTCTGGGAACTCTGGAGCTCGTGGCCAACAACCCAAGCCATCCACGGGCCGAACGCCAGTGAGGTCTTTGAGGATGTGGTCTCGCTCTTCGAACCAGATGAACATAGTAGCGGCGAGGAAATGTAGTGCCAGCATTCAGCGACCATGGGAGGCTCATGATACATATAAAATTGAATCTATATTGAAAACAGTCATAATTACTTATAGATTCAATACCATGTATTATTCATGATATACACATAATTAATAGCATGATATTATCACTATTGAATCTCATAGTGGACTAGTTGGATTACTTACCCATGTTTCATCATATGTTCTATGTATTTGATCTTGAGTTGATCGCAGCAATGCTGGCTCCTAGGGAGAAGATAATGGTCTTCCAATTGTTTTCCAATGACTGGCTGGGCTTATGGCGACAATCATTTGGCATTAATTAATACCGAGTTTGTGTGGACTCTCATGAGATTCACAGTTAAGACAACAGCCCGAACTTCGTGAACAAGAGGGGTTTGAATTCTAGAGCTCTGCAATATACCTGGTGATCCTCACAGAATCATGCGACAAAGATAGGAACTCATTAAAATCTGTCCAAGTTCACACGAACTTCTACACCGTGTCATTTGTAAGCTTCTTTTTTGTGAACTGTGAAGTAGTCAGCAAAGTCTCAGTCCCTCAACAGTGGCACCTGGCCATAATGCTTGGGTTTGGAAGACGAAGAACTCGTGAATTTGAGTGATGAGACTTCGCAGCACACCTGAAGAAGTCTTCGTTTGACCTGTTTTTGGATGGCACCTCGTCGAATGAAAAGTCGTTCCTCTTAAAGCCAGCCAATAGCTGCAACCAGAAGTGTTGATGCAGGGAAGGGTGGCTGGTCAAGCTTATGACCGGACAGATTCGGTTTGACATTTCACTCTCCCTGGCACCGTGCGAGGGGTGCACCTTCTTGGGCGCCTTCGGGCGATGAAGGCCAGCCACCAGAGATGTTTCTGTGCCGGTCGCCGGTGTTCAACAAGGACACCGGTGACGGTGGCCTCATTTCTGCCCTGTCTGAGATGAGATTTCTGGGGTGATTCAGAAGAGCCCACCGTTCAGTGCCTCCAATGGCATGCGAACTCGCCTCGGCACACGACCGTGAGAAGCACCTGTCTGGATGTGCCACTGGACACCGACCGTGTGGCCTGTGTGGCATCGCGAATCGGATGGCGACCCGGCCAACAGAGCCAGGAATCCGACGCCTGCAATGATTTCTTGCCATCCAAGCGCACAATCAGCCTGCACTGGTGTTTCCAAATTGAGATGTATGACATGTATGCCAGTGGGCAAATGGTCCCCATTTTGGTGGAAGATGGTGGAAGTGGCCTCACCTGTAGCAAACCAACACACACAACACACACACCAACTGGGTGTGGCAAAGTAAGACCCCCAAAGCCGAGGACCCGCAGGGATTAATGGCATATTATTTGTCCCTTTGTTTTTCCTTTTTCTAGTCATATAGGCTGATATGACCTTGAACTCAATTAAATTCACTTGATATCAGGCTACCCAGTTGGGTCTTTTGGGGTGACTGACGGAGTCCCGAGTCCACGGCCATGCCATGCTCGCGTTCGCAGGCGATTGCTGGTGGGAAGAAGTCGTTGCCCAAGTGGCACTCGAAACTCCCCTCGGTGCAACCACGGGAGGACACAAACGACGGACACTCTCGTGGTTGAGGTTCAACTCAGCCAAGATGAGACGGTCTCAGTTGGGAAGGTTTTGAAGTGGGAGACTCTCTTTACAAAGAGGTAATCTGAAGCAGAGAAGGAGCAAGCAGGACGAAGATCGGTGTAGCCTCCTAGAAACATCGAAGCAGTGTGATGCATGTCGGACCACAGCAGGACGTCTTTTCCAATCCTTTGCTTCGTCCGGCTTCAGCCAAAACGGCTCGAAAAACACGCATTGCCTGAAACATCATCTCGCGCAGCATGCAGTCCCCGATGTCGCCTGTGTCCGTGCCAAGCACGCAGAGCAAGGACCTGGAGGCAATGTGGAACTTCAGCACTGCCGACTTGTGTGCAAACGTGACATTTGGTAGTTAGATAGATGCACAACATGTGGTTTTGATCATGTGCAGTGTGGTGGGTGTTGTCTCACATGTGGTTGCCTGTCCTAGTCAACCTTAGCTTTCGAGCATCATACTTAATCCTGACTACTTTGCTGTGGATTTCGTGCACGTCTTGCAACCATCCATGCTTCCTCACGAGGATGTGAAGCTTCCTCACGAAGAACTCCGTAGTGTTTCTCGACTAAGCTGGGTGGCCAGTGATTGACCATGTTTGGAGGGGTGCCTTCAGCAAGCTGCAAGGCTTGGTGATGCCATCTGGCCACATCCCCCTTTTCTTGGGCGTGCCAACACGCGGGAGAACACCTTGTAAAGATCATTCCATGGTTCACATCATGCCAGTGTTTGCGGGGAGGACTTCCCATCCTTTTGTATTGGGTTTTCACATGTTTTCACCATGTATCCTGCATTTGATCTGTCGGTTTCCAGTCGTTCACTCAATTTGAGGTTCCCGGTCTTTGGGCCGCGGGCATGTCACGTCCGGATTTTCTCTTTGGGCTGCGGCGTGCAATACAGTGATCAGTGATCACTCTGGAGCCAATATAGCTCCTGACTCCTACCTTTGAAGCAGCATTTGATACAATGTTGGAAAGAGTGCCACTACACTGACATCGCATGTGTTTGGAGTCCTGGATATGGTCCAAATTTGTTTTTGGATGTCGGCAACACGAGGTCTATGGTGCTTGATCCGGGAGAGTTTGCCGTTGCCAGTCTTTTCACACACCAGGCGACACTTTTCTTTCGGTTGCATTGCCAGATCCAACTTGTTTGGTGACCTTGGGAAAAAAGCGCACGCTCCATTGATGTGACCCTCCGATAGTTCCCATCAATCACTGTTGATGCTGCGTATGAGTGCATCAATCACTTTCCATATCGTGCAAGTCCAATGCATTGGGTTTCTTTGGGACGGGCATGGGGGCACTCACCCCAAGCCTACATGGCTACTCATCAAAAAGATCCACGTGCTCTTGGGGACCAATGAATGTTGACCGTGTTGATTGTCCTCACCTCGTCACAGAGAGGCACCAGAATCAGCAGGGGTCCATTCCGAATTGAGAGTTTCGGATGGACATCGCGCCGATCTGGCCGCCGATCTGGACATCGCCCACGGTATGGTAGTATGCAGGCGTGGGGATTCTTCTGCCGTGGGATTTTCTCCCATGTTGGGGAGGCGATGACGGCTTCGCCGGTAGACTTCACATTGACTTCGCCCGGGGCTGAGGATGCCTCGACGTCTGAGCCGGACTCCGAGCCGACCACTGTGGTGCCCAGAAGTGTCAACTGGCACTACACCCGGTGCCTTGCCACCCATGGTCCGCTGTAGGAGCCAGAAATCACAATCCCAACACGTTTGGAAGGTTCACCTCCAGAAAAACCATGCGACTGGTCCCCGATGTGACCCCTATCTTGATCCATCTCACTATATATCTGGAGGTCTTGGTCAAATTTCCAGATCAATGGTTGGTTGGTGTGTGTGTGTGTGTGACCCTTGGAGTCACAGGGATCCGTTTGGATTATTCTTTGTTTTTGCTGCTACTGTAATTAGATTTGCATGGGGCACCGACGGTGCTGATGAGGCCGGTGCTAACAAAGACGCTCATCAGTCACCTGTGATACAGTTGGAGACGTCCAACTGCGTACCTGCATTTGTACTTTGAGAACCTAAGACCTAAGTATGGCAAAAGCTGTCTCATACGTTGGTTCCGCATTCCGTCTTGCTGCAGTAAAGGGCTAGTGCATCGGTTATTTACAGCCTTCGGCATGCCGCCGGCCACCAGCTCGAGCCCGCATTGGCAGGCAGCCTAATGATGCTTATTAACAGTGTTCCACAGTTCTATTTTCGTTCCAAGGCAGGGACAAGATCACCTCTTCTAGGCTGAAGCAGCTATATAATCCGGCACGTCTCTTTGATTCAACTCGCTTTTTCCTGTTCTCGCCATGGCCTAGTCTGAAGCAACCGGGGCAGGGCAGGCTGTCGAAACACCCGCGCGGAGAAACAAACCGTAGATTGAAGCCAACCGTAGATTGAAACCAATGGAAACCAACACAAGCCAGACGAAGCAAGACAATCCACAAAACCGGTACTACTTGGCCTTTTGCATGTTTTCCTTGTCAGATCTTTTTTTCGACCGTCTTGAGGAATTGCGAGTCGCACAAGATATTCTTTTTCACGTACAGAAGGCTTCAAAGCGACCGACGAATTTCTTGATCTGGCATGATTTGTCGTTTTTTCTCCAAACCGTTCGAAATGAAAGACCCAGAATGACATCGAACAACAATACCCTACATGTCTCAGTCCAATGGTTGTCTATTCTGATCCAGCGATCGACATGTCTCAGTCCAATCACCTTAGACGTAGAGAGGGGGGGGGTGGGGGGCGTCAGGCTGTCGAAAAATCCGCGCGGAGAGACAAACCGTAGGTTGAAACCAACACAAGCAATACTAACCAAAACAATCCACAAAACACGCCGGCAAGCCGGCGGATTCACCTTGAAACTTTCTTGAGCTTGGGGCCTGAACTTGACCTTACCTTTGGAGGCTTTGGAGGTTTTAGAAGTACCGTTTTTCACTTACCTGGCCTCTTAGGTTTCACTTAGGCCGGCGTGTGGCAAACCGCAACCAAATCAGTACGCATAATCTCAAGTGTGTCTGGCTTCATGCCAGCCCAGGGTGAGCCCGCAGAGTGCCCCCTGTGGACCCGTCGAACGGGGGTTTGTCGAACGTATCCCCGGCCCGGATACAGAGCAGCTCGCAGCGAGCGTAGGTGGCCTAGGCCAAAGTTACTTGCCAAGACCTGACGGATTATTGAATTCCAACGAGCAGTCTTCGGACAAGCCATGAGGTGACCACAGCGGTCAGCAGTAGGCAGCCTTCGGGCACGCCACCACGTGGTCGCAGCGACCAAAGCTTGTTCAAGGCTCAGTGGAACCTGTCAGGACCTTAACCCCCCGTCTCTCCCCTTACCCTTCCCCTCTTCGTCATTCGTCAGGTACACCCCTCTCCCTGGTGTGTCCCTGAACGCTTGCTCGTAGCTGGGAACATTTGTTCACATCCTTTTCTTTCCTCCTCTCTCTTTTTTTTCCCTCTTTCCCTCTCTCTCTCTCTTTCTTTGTTTTTCTCTTTCCTGTTTCCCCCTCCATCTTACTTGGGTGTCCCTGAATGCTTTCGTCATAGCTGGGAACCCTTCTTTTCTTCTCCTGGTGTGTCCTTGGACGCTTGTGTCGTAGCTGGGAACACCTTCTCATTCTTCTTTTTCTTTCCGCTCCTCTCTCCCTACCCCTCCCTGCCTTGCGCGCGATGCGTTCACACGCAAAAGAGGCGTTGCAACAGGTTTCAATGAGGTTTGGCTTCATCGGTTCTTGTCCCCTCCATTTGGTTCCCTGTTCAGCCTTCCCCTTTACACACTTTTGTTCCCCTCTTTTCTTTCACGTCCGCCTGTCTTCATGTCTTGGCATTTCACTACTTCTTTCTTTTGCGCGCACATCGGTCCCGGCCTTAGTGTGTACGCGCACATCTTCACGTACTTTTAACCCAGGTTTCAGGTCGCCCAGGCTTGATAAGGGTTCATTGTTTGACCCTGTGCACTTGTTTCCCTTTCATCGCTACCACGTACACTTTTGTCCTGTCTCGTCCTCTTTTCATGTCTTCGTCCTTTTGTCCGTGCGGCGCGCGCATGCATGCACATTCGCCCTCACCTTAGTTCTTCGCCTCTTTTTCGGGGAGGCGTGTGTGTGTGTGTGTAACCATTGGAGTCACAGGGATCCGTTTGTTTTTGCTGCCAATTAGCCAATTAGATATTAGATTTGCAGGGGGCACCGAGGGTGCTGATGAGACCGGTGCTAACAAAGACGCTCATCAGTCACCTGTGATACAGTTGGAGACGTCCAACTGCATACCTGCATTTGCACTTTGAGAGCCTAAGTATGGCAAAAACTGTCTCATACATTGGTTCCGCACTCCGTTTTGCTGCAGTAAAGGGCTAGTTCATCGGTTATTCACCTTGGAACTCTTACCTTTGGAGGCTTTGGAGGTTTTAGAACTTCCGTTTCCAATTTCCGTGGCCTCTTAGGTTTTCACTTAGGCCGGAGTGTGGCAAACCGCAACCAAATCAGTACGCATAATCTATCATAATCTCAAGTGTGTGAGAAAGATGTGTGCGTTCTGGCCACCCGGCCGCCCAACCGAAACGACTTCATCGCATGAGTCCGTCGATCTCCGTCGGACGCCTGGGACAGCATTCGCCAGCCATGTTTGCATGACAGATTGAAACTTTTTATAGGTAGCCTTCATCCATGGAATTGATTATATTTCCCTGCGACTTAACTAGTCTAATGATGTTTAATGGTTGAAACTCAACCAAAGGATTTATTTGTCAATGCTTGTCAGGTATGAGAAACTCATGGAAAATTCGTTTCTTTGAACCCAGGAAGTGCAACTACTCCTGCAAGTTCTGCTTCCACACGGCGAAGAGCAGTTTCTTCCTGCCTGAGACCGAAGAGGGAATGATGGAGTCAAAGGAGTGCCTCCGGCGCCTCAAAATGGCAGGCGGGATTAAATGGGATCAAACAAACAAAAAGACGAGAGACAGAGAGAGGGAGAGAGAGAGAGAGAGAAAGACCATACAGACTGCCTGAATTGCTCGGTTGCAGAAACATGTTCCATGTTTTTTTTTGTAGGCATGGAAAAACTAAACTTCAGTGGCGGGGAACCCTTCCTGCACGACAAGGCCAACGCCATACTGAGCGTGGGAGGAGAGAAGGGAAGAGGATGAACTCATCACTGTAGCAGTTGGGTGTGGCTGTTTTGGGGACACGTCAAGACCGAGTGTTTCATGTTGAATCGTGTGGACAGGTGCGGGGCGTTTCAAAGATGAGGACTCATGGCGGCTCATCAAGTAGGCATCAAGAACAACAACCATGTTTAGCATGGCTGCTTAGGCTTAGACATTAGGCTCTGAATGGTTGTGAGATGTCAGCGCTTTTGGAACAAGATTGCCCAAACAACGACTTTGAGGACCATCAGAATTAGATTGTTGTTCTTCAAAATGACTAAGTCTTACTAGGTGATGCCCAGTATCGTGAATGTACCCTGGCAATTATACGCAGTTCTTGGGAGAAAGTTTCACCTTTGTTAATCTCCATTTTGGGGGCACTTCGGAAATAAAGCTTCAGACGTTCTTTGGCGTTTTTTGGTCCCTTTTTTGGCGCCAAAAAACGGGCCACGGGGCCCAAAAGGAGTCTTCATGCTTTTCAAAGCCACGTGGTTCGCTCTCTTCGCTTCGTTGGGACCGATGCTCGAGACGCTCGGAGGCACTGGGAGAACTCTGCCGCTTTTGCAAGGTGGAGTTGGAGCTCCCGAGCGTCAGCTTCTCGGAGGTCTGATGGAGGGAGGGAGGGAGGGAGGGAGGGATTCGTGTGCGTCGGCTTCAACGAATGAAAGGTCAACCCAAACTCCATTTGAGGCTGCGTGGATGGGTGGGCCTTTTCTTGGCACAGGTCAGCGGAAAGACACATACATGCTATGTCACTATATCATACCAATATATATATAATATTATATCATACTTTAATAAGGGTTTTAATAAAACGTCTATGTCTCCCCCGTTTCTGGCCATGCTTTCCTCACCGTCTGCTCCTGTTCGTACGTATAAGCACGTGCCGCACGGTATCAGCATCGAATCGTGGCGGTCCGAGGCATCGTGTCCAACGGAAGCCTCATCAAGGAGAGCTGGATGAAGCGCTTTGGCACCTCGCCGAGCTTAACCGGGGGGCCGATGGGCGGGGTCATGGGGTGTCCGGAGACCGACGGGTATAGTTTTTCTTTTGGAGGTGTTGCCATGGTGGACATTTTTCTATTTCAACAGCAGACACGGTCCATTTTTACTTTCTCGGCTTCTTCACCCGATGTCAACGGGTGAGAAGTCAGATTTCGAGACATCCATGGCAGTGGGCCACTAGCCAGAATGGGGCGAGCAATCGCTTGTACACTGGAAATTCTTGTCGCTTGTACACTTGAAATTCTTGTCGCTTGTACACTTGACCGTTGTGAGCAAGGACGCTACTAGGGGCTCCTGGCATTGCTACTAGGAGCAAGGACGCTACTATGGGCTCCTGGCATTGCTACTAGGAGCAAATACTAGGGGCTCCTGGCATTGCTACTAGGAGCAAGCACGCTACTAGGGGCTCTTGGCATTGCTACTAGGAGCAAAGATGCTACTAGGGGCTCCTGGCATTGCTACTAGGAGCAAGGATGCTACTAGGGGCTCCTGGCATTGCTACTAGGAGCAAGGATGCTAGGTTTTGTTCTATAAGACGGATCGTTCTTGTTTTGGATGTTGCGATTTTTGGAACTTTGTCGGCGTGTCGGAAAGCGAACAGGACCTGCTTGGTTGTGGTGTTCCCAAGCTGTCACCCTCATGTTCCAGTAACGGGCTAATGCATGCCGCAGAGTCTGGGTGAGAAAGGCAATCAAAACGTGAGTGTGTGTGTGGGGGTGTAAAGATGTTGACCTTCTTCAATCTGCCAACCCTTTCAGCGCTTCAGAGTCACACTGTATGGTGGGCAACTGCAACCCCCCCCACCCCCACCACCCCCCACCCCAACCCACTCATTAGTTGCATGTGGAGTAGGCCCCACCCCGGAGCTAGGAAGCAGGTAAGTGCACAAGTGATTGATGCCCAGTGCGCAAGTGACGTAAGTGCGCAAGTGCCGTAAATCCCCAGTGCGCAAGTGATTGCCCCCAGAATGCCACACTACTTGTCCTTGAAGGAAGCCACAGAGTCTTTTTAGATTGAAGGTATGAGGAATCTGCATTGGGGATTCAAGAAGACGAGGGAAGGGTGGCTCCTGTGTTTTCAGCAACTTGAGCCAAGTTTGCGCCACCCGCATAAATCGGTCGCGGGATCTTGAACTCACATGGCTCTAAAGCTTAGAAAGACAGACAGGTCCAAAATTCAAAATGATCAGCTCGATTCGTCTTCCAAGACAGGAAGCTTCGTGGACATCTTGGCGATCTCCTGCGACTCCTTTGTGGAAGAGACCAATGTACGTGTAGGTCGTGGTCGTGGGGAACACTTGCGGAAGCTCGAGGAGATCAAGAAGTGGTGCGTCGAGTACAAGGCCGTGGCGAACACTTCGACTCCCATGCAGCCCCACCGTGTGACGACATGGACCGCTGGTTTCGATGTGTGAAGGGCTGTGAAAATAGAGAACCACAAGACTACTACTACGACGACGACGACGAGGACGACGACTGCTATTACTACTAATTGTTACTACCACTACTACTACTACTACTACTACTACTACTACTACTGCCACTGCTGCTGCTGCCACTGCTGCTACTGCTACTGCTGCTACTGCTACTGCTACTGCTACGGCTACTGCTGCTACTACTACTACTGCTGCTACTGCTGCTGCTGCTGCTGCTGCCACTGCTGCTACTGCTACTGCTACTGCTACTGCTACTGCATGCTACTGCTACTGCTACTACAACAACAACAACTACCACCACCAATACTCCAATTGTGTTTGTCTCCGTGACTCTATTCAAACTCCCTGTGACTCCCTCGATTGTTTGCTAGGGAGGGAAAATTTTATTAAAGAGTCTAACATTGACATTAACTGAGATTGCTTATGGATGTTCCTGAGGACGGGAATATGAAACACAGGGTAGATCATATCTCACAAATATGGACATACTGTATACTGTATACTAGATTACTATAGGCATATCCGCCTACAAGGGAACAGCCACAAAACACCCGTCTTCTGAAGTCCCCCTACATTTGTGGCACTTAGTGTTGCCACCGAATTTCTGCACTCCATCTGCGGGACACGTCAGGTGGACTTCAAAATCAACAGTGTCATCAACGCTCTCAACGCTTATTGGGCAGCAGAAGCCGACCTGATCGTTGGGCGTGTTCGTTCGTACGTGGCATAGGTCGCCGATGCGAGGGGGCTTCCGAAGCTCGGTGCCGACGATCACGCAGAAAAAACCAAGTGGAGAATCCAAAACAAAGGTCTGCCACAAAGATGAATGTAACATAAATATACAGAAATGTTGGATTCCAAGCCACTTGCAAATGGTCCTGGGATACGAAGTTTCTGCCAGTTTCCTTGACTATGTATCTTCTCATGTGCCTGACTAGTCTGAGGTTGATGAGGACATGTCCGAGCACATCGAACGTTTGCAGCCCAAGCGTTGGAAGGTTTTCCAATGCTTGCTGATCGAGGGCGAGAACGCAGGGGAAGAGGCGATTCGCGACGCTCGATCACTGACGATCTCTGATGAACAGTGTCCTGGAGAGAAGACGATAGGTCCGAGCTGCGGAAACCACTTGCCACGGGCTGTTGAATTTTGGTTGTTGGGTGAAACGAAGGTCAACCTGCTTGAGTGCTGGTTGCGAGCACACGCGTATCTCACGTAGTAGCTGGCTTTGGTGGGTCGTGACACGTCCTGGTAGAGTACCTTGGGCATTGGACACAATCTTGATTTGATTCTATGGTTGCCATGGCTAGAACATGCTAGAACAGTGTCACCTGTCTTCAATTACACAAGCATGGAACAACGGTTTTGTAGGTGCAACTAGCTTCTGACAAGACATGCTCCCTTCTTAGCTTTGCGCTTTGGGCAACTTTGCGCTTCAAAACAGCTAAAAGCTCGGCTTCTGGAGGTTGGCGCTTCGCTCCTCCCCCCTAAGAAGCTCCGGGCGGTCGGGCGCCGGCGGTCAAATGCGAACGCAGCTCATGAAGACCCGCGGTTCACCGGTTGTGGGACGATCGCCGTCCTTCCGCTGTTCGCTTAGACCGCTGAAGCAAGGTTCCAGTCCTTTCTGGAACGTCACAAAGCAGTGTCCGTGTTGGTCCCAGAGAGCAACCTGGAAGGATAAACAGAGACGGTGGGAGCGCCGTCGCCGGAGGTCATTGGGTGTTTCGATTTCGTCAAATGGCGGTCTTCTGAAGAGCTTGGGACTTCGTAGATCGCGTTTGCTTTAGGGCTTTAGGGTGGCTGTTCAACTTGACAGAACGTGCAATCCAACAAGTATGGGAACCTTTGGACTGATGACCAGCTCAACGGTGGGCTTGGGTCACTCTGCTTCAAGGTTGCAAGGGCGATCTGATTGGCTCCTTTGTTGGCCTTGGAACCATTAGGGCCATGGCACAGAGGCAGCTGTAGGAAATCCCCAGATCATCCCAGATCTACATCCAACCAGAAGAACCCAATGAGAAGAAAATGAAGAAACTCCTTCCTTGTCACCTCCGGATTGTACAGGTAATGATGCCATGATGAACTCGTACCTGATCTTGGATGAGAAGCTTTGCTCCTTGTGCACGTCAGCGGGCACCCGGGTCGTTGAACACCACGAGCGTTTTGCGGGGCACAACCAGTCGGACCGGCCACCCGAAATCAACCACCGTGTCGGTGGTAGTGCGTTGGACATCGGTGGTTGGTCAATCGTATGAGTCCGTTGTTTGGGTGCGGCTTCGGCGAGCCTCAAAAAGCGCCATGTATCATTCAGGCCTGTAAATTCATGAACAGAAGGTGACTCGGTGAGGGGATGTGGAAGCTGATAAGATAAAATCATTAGGCGTATGCAACATGATTCAAGAGTGGTTTGGGGTTCAGGTTGATCATAATTCTTGTTTCTCTACCCACCACAATCCTGGTCTCAGTGGAACTGCCAGACAGTTTGAATTGAGGCTTCCTGAATTGTACTTCGGGTGGGAAGAAGCCAAGTGCTTCCATCCGCGATGTGGAGGTGGAGGTGGCCTTGCGTCAGGCACGTTGGATCCGCGATTGGATCGGAGCAGAAACGGATCCGCCTTTGATCCCCAGCAGTAGCTGCGTGTGAAACTCGGATGAAGGGCAGGGCCACGATGTATCATGTTGGAACTTGCAAGATGTACTGTATGGCTTGGGTATGAGGCAGTGGATGATTGAGACCTTGGCGTTGTTTCGTTTGTTAAAAGATGATACAACGAGGTAACGACGGGACCTGGCAGGGTTTCGGTGTTGTGAACGCGCAATCTGCCAGGGTGGTGGTTTCATTTGAACGCTCAAAGCCCAGAAACCCAGCAGCGCCCCGCGAAGCGGAGGCCGGCTTCGATGCGGAGATGTTCGTGAAGCGCGGAGGGGTCTATGATTGGACCAAGCAAAGAGACATCGAGGATCTGGGCGAGGAGCGGTGGACTGGGTGGACCTACACGGTGGACCCAGTGGGTGGACCGGGGGTGAAGCTCCAAAGATGTTGGTTAGTTGCCATGAAACTTGCAGGTGCAGGCGGAAAACTCTCCCCCTTGGGGTTACGACACACTGGGCTTTCTGAAGCCCCGAACCCACGACGTCGGGTGGCCCGGCAGAGTTCCGGCGACCCAAACACCCAAGTGTTGGAGGACCCGACGACGCGCGACAGGACATGATGGATGTGAAGACACAGACGGCGGGAACCTTGGTGAAGAAGATGTACAAGGGCCCCCGCGGCGTGCTAGGGGATCGCGAAAGCCGCGATGAATGTAGCTGGATGCTTGCAGTTGCTTGGCTGCCTATAAAGGTGACATGTTTCACAAGCAAACACGATCTATCACGATCTCAGAAGTTGCAGTTGACTCAGCTGACTGGTGCTTAGTAGGGAATAAGAGAATGACCCCTCGCCATGAATACCTCGAATTCATTCCTTAATTCCTCACGGAGCACCAGTCAGTTTGCGACACAGTCATGTTTAGTGCTTCTGGGCCCAGAGCCTTTGAGATGCCACGTGATGCGCCGGTCCCACATGGTCCCAAGCTGCTCTATGTCCTTTTTGGTGTCGACAGGTGTATGGTGGCCATAACATGCCATAACTAAGAACATCGTAGAACCCGTACAAAGCTAAGCCCCTTTGAAGAGGTGTGCACCTCCTTGCAGTAACCTTCAGTGTGTATTTTCATCCTGGCATGGACGTCCGAAAGCCATACACCCACCATATTATCATATCCTACAAATTCGCATCCCACTGGCAGCCTCAGGGCGCAGTTGCATGTGGGGCCCTGAGCCTTTGCCTACTTGCCATCCTCCGAACGAGATGAGAAAGAGCTGGCGGAAGATCAGGGAAGATGAGAGGATTTCCTGATGTGGTGAAAGACGAAGATGTACATAGCCATTCACAGCCATAACTGTTGAATGCTGTCGATTTGATCTGAAGATTTCAGCAATGGAGCCTTTGGATCAAGTCGAATACATGTGCAGGGTGGTGTTGAGACCTGTGTGACTGCTCAGGCGGGGTCTCTGGCTGAGCACACTCTGTTCGATTTGTTCGATTTCCCGAGCAAAGGCGGTCGGCCCATTGGGATCCAAGCGCGCGACTTGGAGATCCCCAGAGACGTCCAGTGTTTCAGCCACCCTGCTGACCGAATCTGTTGGTGCTTTCACTTTTTCAGCACCGGGTGCTCTCCGAGTTCCCACTCCAATCGCTGCCCCCCCCAACGCGGCGGCGACGTCTCAAGCGGCCGGAGATCCGGGTCTGTACAGGGTGCCTAAAGCTTGGGGATCCAGTTTGTACCCTTGTCATTAGTAGGGACAGTTTTTTTTAAACTTAGGTGATGGAAGCCCCTTACTTTTGGGCACCAAAGGCCCACAACAATTTCATTGATGCTACCAAGATTGCGGCTTCGCTGTGCTGCGCGGCCTGGAAAACAAATACGGGGTGCCCTTTGTACATTGATTGATGCAGGTATGCTGATGCGTTTGAACAGAGATTTTTAATTACCGTTCTTTGGCTGTGCCAACGCCTTGCAATAAGCCCGTCCGGACCAGGTCGGCGCGAGGTATGGCTGGACAAAAAAATGCTGATGCGTTTGGAGTAGTCCGGGCACGCCAGCGGTTTAGGCGCTTTACTTACAGCGACTTTGAGAAGTACTTCCGCAAGGTGCGAGGAACGGTGGAGATCTGTGATTTGTTGGTGTTTTCTTGAGGTCAATCCGCTAGCACTTCTCTTTGCCTCTTCTCCTGAAGATTGGCCCTCAATGTAAGACGGTTAGATGACAATCAGTCAGTCAACAATTATCAGTCAAGATGGCATTGCTATCCTGAAGTTGGGAAGCGCTCCTGGAGCACTCCCACCAGTATGGGCTTGTGTCGACCGCTCCAAAAGTCCGTAGCTTGGCCCAAAAAGTCGACCCGCACGAATGACCATCTCATGGCGTTCCATAGATCCATCTGTCCCATGATGGTGAAGGATTTTTGGGCCAAGCTGTGAGAACACCATGGTCCTATGGATGTTTGTCTTTCTGACCGGTCCCATGGTCCATGGTGTCGTCGTAGATGTAAAGATTGAAGGACAGGACTTTTTCCGCCAGGCCGTGGTGGCGGCGACGCCACGGCCGCCCAGCAATCAAAACCGATCTGCTTGGGAGCCCGGAGGGTGCGAAGGAAGGTGGTGATGAGGTTGGGGTGGTCTGGTGAGGCGCACGTTTGGAAGACATCAAGGTTCAAGAAATTCAGTTACGTCCACGCGGGCTCTTCCGTCCCAGTCCACGCGGGTCTTCATCATCGGCCCGGGCTTCGGGAATCAGCCGGGGCACCGAGCACGGTGACCTCGATTTGGAAAGATCTTCGATGCGAAAATGGGCGAAGACAGCGGCGTAGGCGGTGCACACAGCTGCGGGTAGGGGACTCCAATCCGACTAAAATGAATGAAAACACCCAGATCCGCCGTATCCAAATCTGAATGACGGTGTTCAGATGGAGAAAAGGACAAAAGGCTTGTGGCGAAGAAAGAACCTTGTGCAGTAGTTTGAAAAGAAAGGATCCATCCACAAAAACTCACATGAGAATAGATCATTGGCCTGGGTTTTCAGGTTCCAGTCTATGCAAGGTGTTGGGCAAGGTGAGTATTTGAAGAAGTGGAGACAGGAGAATTACTTTAGGATTGGGCAATCTTCCCAGTCCATCCGGTTTCGACGAGAGAGAGAGAGAGAGAGAGAGAGCACTGCATTTTTCTTGGTCCCTCAGCACTGCTGGGGCATAAAGCCGCCCAAGTGGTGATGAACATGCCTTTTTGTGCATTCTGGGGTTTGGTTGGGTTTTCGCAGCAGTTTCATGTACGTTTGCAAGGGGCATCACGTGACACGCGGCGGTTATTTTAAGTCCTGAAAGGGAAGGATCATTCACATCCAGTTGGCCAGCTGGAGTCTGCCAGTGCGCCCTCGACTTCGCCAGGATCAATCCGCGGCAGAGCCGCATGGTTGAAGCTGCGGGGTATCAGGCATCCTGCAGAGCAGAAGTAAAATGGGTGAGGAGCAGCATAGTCCAGAGATCGTCCCGCCAAATCACCTCGTTTCGAAACGCATGGGCCAAGGAAGGGAAGGAAGCGAGGGGGTCTCCGGATGGTGGGTCCATGGCTCATGGCTGCAATATATGGTGACTCTAAGATATTCTAAGCATGCAAAGGCGATCAGGCCGAGGATTTGATGGAATTGAGCTGAGTATCATAGCGATAGAACCAGAAAAGACACATGCACTATGTTCCTGGTGTTGAGAAACATTACAGTATGTTCTTGATTCTTGTTTGTACTCTCCTGATCATATCATGATTATTGGATCTTAGCGGATTGACCCCGTTACTTTTCAGGTGCCCGGTCATCCAGTCATGGCTTTGTCCCACACCCATCAGTCACCCATCCCGGAAGAGTGCTGCACGTCTGGCAGATGCGCTTCTGCTTCAGCATTCCGAACCCAGAAGTGCCACATTTTCCAGTGGATCCCTATCTAGGCGGGGCCTCGCGAGGGAGGAGAGCTGATCTCTGGGTTGAGACATGTTGAATCTTGGAGTTCTAGGTGGAGTTGACGGAGCTATTGAATGGGAGCAGGACAGGTGAGAACTGAAGTCTCACATGGCTTGCTGGCTAGCGGCTAACTTCTTGCCGCATCAAAGATGTACGCACGTATAAATGGCAAGTAGTGGATGGATTTAGATCGTGGTTCTAAGTTCTTGGTTCAGGGATTGACGGGTGTGTCTTATCATAATTTTCGATGCACAATGTCTTATTGCAGTTATATACTATATATATATATATATTACATGTATACTTGTACAGAAAAACAATCCGAAGAGTTTCTGTATTTGAACAAAAACAGGCTTTCTCCCAAACCCAGCTGTGTTCTTTTCTGCGGATACTTTCTGTGGATGTCTCGGACGTCTCAACTCCCTTGTTCTGGTCGAAAAGGTGACTCCCGGACATCCGGCTTTGGGCGGCCCAATGGCGTAAACGTAGGTCCATAGAGGCCAGATGGGCGTGTTCTGCGATTTCAGATGGTTCAACTCCACAGATCAACAGATGGAGTTTAACATGGATCACCTCGTAGGCATGAACTTGCACTTTACCTTAAACTTGAACTCCTAAAATGTTGGCGCGCAAGTTGCCTGCCGGGGATTCTTCTACTCTCCAAGCACTGCACCATCCCCCCCGATGGAGCACTCTCCCCGTCCTCGCCCGTCCGTCGTTGGGTCGTCCGTCGTTGGTCGTCAGAACAAGTGAAGTCCGAGATGGACGCGCCCGGCGACCCAACGAAGCATCCGGCCGATCCACCCTTCGTCCCGAACAGTTCAGCCGGTGCAGTTCAGGGTGTGCAGAAAACAGCCGGAGCGGATTTTCGGTGTTCAGACATGAGGCTGAGGTGGTTCAGTTTCAGGTTTCTTTGGTTCACGTTTTGATCACGAAAGCCAGCCGATAGGCTAGGCTGAAGTTTTGGGGAGCGAACGAAGTGAGTAAAGGGGGTGTGGGGGGGATGCCACAGAGCCAATTTCGGAGAGCTAACCCAGAGCCCGGTGAAGGAGAGCGAAAAAAGAGGTGGCCAGGAGGTAGTGAAAATGAGTGGTTTTTTGGGTGTGATGCAAGTGATGTAATTGACTGCGAGTGAGTAGTGCATCATCAGCATCATGAGGGGCTCAGGAGGCAACGTAAACCGTCTTCTACTAGGGGTGGGAGTTCATAAGTGTCGGGACGCGAAAAGTGGTTGAAACTCCTCCAGGAAGGGAGATGTGCGTCTCTGCCGGCCATTGAAATAGTGTTCGACTAGGCGTGACAAGGGAGGTGTGTGTCTCTGAAGACACTGTGTGATCTGTGAGGACCGGAGGGGGAACAGAATGCTGTAGGTGGAAGACAGACATAGCGGAGGAGGATGGGTAGGTCGGAAAAGAGGGCTTGCAAGAAATCTTGGAGTTGCTTGGGGGGGTGCCCTTTTTAATGGTGAAGACGCCTGTCAACCATACGCAAAAGGGCACCCCATATGGGTTGCAAGTTCATGTAATGATGCGGAGGGCAGGAGAGAGAACAGAATGCAGCGGGCAAGCTTTGAATTGCTTGGGGGTGCCCTTTTTTACGGTGAAGAGGCCTAGTTGTCAGACTCAAAAGGGCACCTCACATGGGGTGGGAGTTCATGTGGATGAGACCAGCATAGCGGAGGAGGACGCGATAGGATGTGACCCACCGAGGAACATAATGCAGCGAGCAAGCTTTGAGTTGCTTGGGGGTGCCCTTTTTTATGGTGAAGAGGCCTGTTGACCAGACGCAAAAGGGTACCCCATACGGAGTGGCAGTTCATGCGCAGGATAGGCATAGTGGGGATGTGATAGGAAAAGAAGGTGGGGAGCTCACCACGGATCTCGCATTCACCCCCCAATGACCATATTGATATCGGCTGGCTTTCGTCCCCTCCCTTCTCAGGTATTTCTTTCATATACACCCCGACAAGATGAACATGGAACCTGATGGACCCGCAAGGAAGACTAGCTTCCTCCAGCTGCACCAGCGGTTTTTAGAAAAAGTGATGTTCCATATTGTTCCATGTTCATCTTCCAGTCTTGCAGGGTGAGCTCGTTATTGTTATTGTTATATGTTTTAAACACATCTTAAAGATGGGCTTGTCTGACAGGGTCCGCCACACGTTTTTTGGCTGAACATTGAACAATCGAACCATCTCTCGAGGTTCAGACCCCACGTCGTGATGGGCGCCTCCAAAGGCGGGATTGACCGGGCAGAGAAGGTGATGAACAAAGCGATTGCCAAAGAATAGAATGTGATCCCCAAATCATTTGCTTTAGGAGGTCGTACAAACCTTATAGGATTTGAAAACATTGTTTTTTTCATAAATTCTTCTACCCCGGAAAGGTGGAGGAACCCCCACATCTCCCGAGGCAATCCCTTTATGTGCTTCCAGGTGGAGTCTACATCATCGGCCTTTGGCGGCGTGGCTACTGGCGAGGGCACGGTGCCCCTGCCGGCCGCGTGACCGGCGACACCGGTTTCTTAGGCCAATTTCCCGAGCCCACCGGAAAGACTCTTGCTGGGTCAAAACGCTGCTTTTGTAAATTCTTATATAGAATCAATCTGTACACGAAAAGTTTTTTCTCCTTGCAGCTGAGGGACACCGACAGATACTGCGAGTTGTCCGACAGATAGCGCCTGTTGGAGGGATCAATTAGAATAGAGAAAATGTAGCGATGTTGTCATGGTGTTGTGGTTAAGTGTAGTGCAGTGGTGTGTGATGAAGCGTTTATGTGGTGATGAACTGCAGTGCGGTGGTGTGTGCAGTGTTTTGAAGTGTAACCTGGTGAACTGAGTAACTCTGGTGGGGTCACTTTGTGGCTTCAGCCAAGCGGGCGACGGCTTCGACACGCCTGCCAGCTACGCTGCAAACGACATTCCAACAATGAACCTGCCTCGCCCCCACCTGGCTACCTTTCCTTGACTCCCTCCCTCATGCAAGTTTCAAGTGTGGAGTGACATGTACCGTAGACTAAACAAGACTGTTGATTAACACAGAATCGTTTTACATCTTCAGACACCAGAGGGTTTTATTCATCAACCGTCTACAACATGTTCTGTACACACACTTCAACTCATGGGATCCCTGGGAGACCATTTTCCTTTGCCAACAGCTGGGCCCATCCAGTCGCTATAGCGAGGCCCACCGTGTTAATCAACGCGCAGGGAGCCCAAGGAGCGACCAGACCAGCCTCGTCATCCGAGACCGGAGACTCGGTCCGACTCGGTGGTTCCGGAAAAGCGAATGCCAAGGGGACCGTCCTGGCTGGACTACCCCACACCTATGGGCGCACCCAGACACCCCGACAGGATGGTCCAGTTATAGCTTGATTTGGCTCGCAGCCATTCTTGGAATGCGAAACCCTTTTGGCGGATTGGGTGGGACGTGGTGGGACACCCCAAAGGTCGGGGGAGACCAAAGGACTCGCATATTGCATCCCAAAAGGAGCTCAAGCCAGAGTTCGACGTTGTTCATTCGAAATGGCTAATTGCCTCTTAATATTGAAAAGGTTTTAAACGTCCAAATGGGGGGGTTTTACAAACCAAGAGTCTACATTACAGAGTTCACACCGCGCGCCTGCCTGCCGCCGCGTGCGGGCCATGCATGCCCAGGCACCCCACGTGTCGCCAGTTGCCGCAGGCGCGGTGTTTCATAATCCGATGTGTTGGCGTTCTCACCAGTTGCAATCTCACTAGTGAGAACCACTAGAGGGATTCTTAGATGGCACAGGCGAACCCATTGTCAAGGGTAGGTGGTTGCCACCATTGCTTTTGCTACGAGTGCAGCCTCTGAATTATATATATATATACATATTAATATGTGTTGGATTGTGTTGGCACGTGTAGGCCGTTGTAGAAGAACCTTCCGATTTCAAGGATCAGATCTTGGGGACCTCTCTTTGCCATGGATTCTGAACCAAAAACACACCAGACATGCCGCGGATTTGGTTCCGCCTTCGTCGTCTCCGCCAGGAGGCGAATGTGGTGATCGCTGTGGGCTCCAACGATGAGGTCTATCCCATCCAACGGCCTGAGCTCGAGGCGAATTCCGGACCGCGCCGAAGAACGTTGTGGTCGTTCGCTGGGCATGTTTGGATCATGTGCTTTTTTGTCCTCAAGGATGTGAGGATTTGTATACTGGTGAGTTATATACTATGTAGTGTTGAGTCTAGGGCAGCGTAGTAGCTTTAGAACGGTGGTTTGTGATCTAATCTCTGACGATCTCAGCCAGGAGATCATGAAGACCGGTGGAATGAACAAGACCTTCCTCTACTTCACCGCCGACAGTGGGCGTCTGCCCTCCGGGCAAATCTCGCGGCAAGGGGACACCCACAATCAGGTGCTGCCCCGCGGTGTTGCGCGGTGTTTGGCGCGTGAAAACGGTGGGCTGGAGGGAGTGCAACTTTTGAGCTCAAAACGCAACTTACATCGTTTGGAAGCACGATTGACTTACTAGATTCAGAGCATTTGGTTGTGGGACAGTGAAATAGTGTAATATATATTGCTATATATTTGTATTTGTATTTTGTTTACAACAGTCAGTGGCATTAATTACAAGCAACTTCAAATCCTCAGGATCTCAAACGATTCTCACAACCTTCAATCCCGTTTGCGCATGCTCATTCCATCAAATGACTCTTTGCATGCGCAAAAAGGGTTTTTGTCGAAACTCTGGGTTTGCGGTGCCACAGATACTGTATCTACAAATGAAGGCTCATTACCAGGAATCTCCAGGCAGAGCAGCAGTTGTTGGCAATGGATCCATGAAACTTCTCAATCATCTCCATGTGATGACTGTGAGTTTTCCCATCGTTTCCACACCAGGCCACCCTTTTTTCTAGTTCCTCGGAGGAGTCCTTGCTGCACCATGACGTGCTGCCGCGCCTCATTGACTCCGTCCTCTGTCCCGAGGGCCCTGAGCCTTGGACCGATACCGGGAGCCCCGTTCGATCCGGCAGACTCCAACGACCGAAGGCGACGTCGACGTCGAGGGCGACGTCACCACGCCATGTCGATGTGCCCGACCGTCATGGAACGAAATGACGTTGAGAGAAGGTGAGAGTGGAACACCAGGGAGGAGGTAGGTGTTGGCCGGTGTGGGCGCGCAAGGGAGAAAGCCTGAGACGTTTAAATACGTTTAACGAGCCTTTCTGCTGGCAAACATGAATGATGAACATTTGATGTTCCATTGTGCAAGGGGCAAAGGTTCAGTGTGGCATAGCTAACGGATTGCTCAGAAAATGGTGATCAAGGACCAGGGTTGGTCACCAGCGTACGATCCGCTACGGTGCGGCTGTAGGAGAGCTCAAGAAACACGAACAGAGATCGAGCATATCAAAGTATTCTCTCTGGGCACGTGCGGCACATGTGTTTATATAGTGCCTTCTTGAAACATGATATATACCCTCCAACAATAAATGGACGTGGATGACATAGTCGATGGCATGGTCCCTTGGAAAGACCATGGCATGGTCCAAGAAACCAGGTTCTCCACTTCTATGTTTGTTGGAGGCTCCACGTCATCAAACCCTCCCCCCCGGCCTTACCAGAATGTCAGGGGGAAGCCCTCGTCAACCGTCTACGTAGTGTACACTTGATTCATACCCCCCCATTTTGGGATTGAAGAACCCTCTCCATATGAAGGTGATGCATTATGTTTTGTGAAAAACATGATGCATTCAAGCTGAGGTTCATTCATTTGTTTCGTTTTAAAACCCCCTTTACGGCCCGGCACCTGAAACCGAGACCGATTCAGCCGCGAACGACCTTCGGAACTCCGGCACCCCAGGAGATGCACTTCATCCGGACCTGGAAAGAAAGGCAGGGCCACTGGCGGTCCGGCGTGGTGGAATGTAGACGATCGCTGCGCTTTTTGAAGCGAAGATGGGTTTGTTCGGGTACGACTCATGAAGGATATGGCACCTTTGGATGACAAGGTTGTCTAACGTCCTTTGGAGCACCAGGATTGGTCCTTTTCATAAAGCTATGAGGATGCTTCAATTTGTAGATGGAGAACAGCGCCAAGGGATGCAGCGCACCAATGAAACCCCCTGTAGAGTCGAATTGGGAAGCTCCTGTATTGCTCATTCTATCATGATTAAGTAAGCAGGTACTATTGACCTTCTTAACTATACCAACCTTGTTTGACTGTAGCTATCAAGCTCAACGCCTGTCTTTCTACACCAATGCACCCCGACAGGCTCTCGGTGGAGCGCAACAATGCGGAGCTGTGGTTAGGCGTGGATCGATACGAAGCCGAGTGTCTCAAGAGACTCAAGAGAGGGAGACCCCAAGCCACCACTGGTGATTAGGTAGGTTTATACAGTTAGAAACACATGGGTCCTGGGTGCCTTGTGAAACAACTCATGGCTGGAGGCACATCATGATATCATTACAGCATATAGTCCAACCGGTGACTATCCTGTTGTGTGTATGCAAGAAGCTGGAAGAGCAGAGCAACACGGAGAGCATACATTCATGATCGGACTTCCCACTGACTATATAGAGCCAAGCGCGCATCAAGCAGTTTCTGAACATGTTTCAAACAAGATTTCCCAACCAAACACAGTGTTCACTCGATTCCAGCTGCCTGTTCTTTTTTCTTTTCGCGTCAGGCTTTAGCCCAGAGCAGGTCATGCGGCTCTGGTCCACCAACGGGCATCTTGGAAGAAAAGAGTCTCATATTAATCATACATATTTTGGAAGTCCAAGTACACCCCTTGTCCACTTAATTAAGAAGGAAAGAGATGGAAAGGAAAGAGACCCACATGGAACCCGATGGCATGGGCCAAACTGGAAGATGAACCATTTCCTCTACAACCCTGACGTGTTGATATGTTTTGAGGTTCTTCCAGGTGGGTGGAACCAGGAGCGTCGTCAGGGCGTTTCGCCCTTCCTTCCCGCGTCCCAAACATCTGGCTCGATTGCGGGCTTCATGGATGGCCACCGTGCTTGGAAGCTGCTTTGGTGGTCCTCCCAAAACAGCAGTCCATTAATTTAGGAGCAAATTCATGGTGCACACATTTACAAACTCCGTCAAAGAGCCCTTTTCGATGGATCAGGTGTGTCCACCAAACCCGCAGAAAAGGTTCTACTTTTGTGGCAAGGGACGCTTGTGTAAATAACGTCTCAGAGTCCAAGAGCCACCAGAGCCGCGTCAAAACATTGGTGCGTTTGGACTTGAATCAAGCACACCAACTTTTGGTTGACTTTCCAGCCCTAAAAGAACATGCACGCGCGACGCACGCCCAGTCCGGCTGCCGCGTTTAGGCACGGGCAACACTTGTTCGACGTGCACCCTGGCACAGAGGAGTATCGCATGGTGACCGCTGCCTTCAAGGAGTGCGCGGGGACGGATGGGGATGGGCTGCGCATCGAAGCTGGCGGTCTCCAATCCTAGCGTGCTGATATAATTCACAAAGAGAACTGGTCATTGGGATGTTGTTGACTGAACGTAGATGATCAAAGCTGAATTCTAAGAAGATTAGTGTAGTGGAAAAAAACAGTAAATACATGTAAAAACCACCTCTGAACTTAATGTGTTTAAATGTTGCGAATGAACAAGCAACATAATATACTATGCATTTTCCAAGTTTCCATTTGGTGAATATCACCTCCACGCTTGGAGGCTCTGCCGGTGGAACAGCAAGCGTACATCCTCTCGCCGCCGGAAACCTGGCTGCCGGTGCGCGCCCTGAGAGTGCGGGCACCTGGTGGCCCCGGGCCAAGATGGTACGGAAGGGGTGGGGTTTGAAGGCGTTTGTGTAGTGGATTTCGACCGAGAATCTTCGGCTTTATACTGACGTATGAACTGCGACCATGGTCGAGACTGAAGCTCGAAGGATCTCCCGTTCCTAAATGGCACAAGGTGGCTAGCTTGAAACCATGCTGACTGCTGACCCAAAAAGGGAGCAACCTCCCAAAACGCGGTCCAATAGTGACATGGGAGCAGCTGAATGTCAGACCATGTGGGTCGCTTAGAATGTCAGACGGAGAGTGAAGAGACTCCGTCGCCTCGTCGTGACCACCCGGTGCGACCCCCTCCACCCCCTCCACCGGGGTCGCAGAGCCGTCGGAGCTGAGAGCCGGAGAATCGCCGTCTCAGATTCAACGTGTGGAGAACGGACCACAAGGAGATGCATCATGGCGGGAAGCTCAGAGGGAGCTCCGATGGACTCTTCGAGTCGACCTCGAAACCACTCCGAAAGCGGTTTCGCGACGGTCGCCGTGCCACGGCCAACGGTCACGGGTTGGGACGTACGTGGCGTGCCTAAAGGCTGAATTGGAGAGAGGAAGGACGAAGTCATTTGACCCATTTTGCATGCGCTCTTTCATGGAGCCTTCTTCACAAGGCCAGATCATAAGATGTTATAAGTAGTGTTGAACAACCCCTGATCAGCAGCACAATTCCCGTGGTTGGTGATTCTTTTCGGTCTCGTTTGCACCTCGAGCTGTCAGGAAGCCTTACTACAAGTCGTTGGTAAGGCCAGGGCCCCTGGGCAGAGCGGCTGAAGAGGTTGATCAGAGAAAGCCACGAAACTCCGACAACATTTGAGCCAATTCTGCCGCGGTGTTAGCTGCAGTTGTGGCCTTGGCAGAGACACGTGGAGCACTTGTGGATTCCAAATCAAAGGAACAGGTTGATGGAGAGTGACCAATATTTTGAAGGGAACACAGCTAAACAACATCATGAATCATGATTGATTCATGCCCTTCGCTTTCGTTGAAGGTATGTGCACTCAAATTACCTCTTCTCATGTGACACCCACACCAGAGAAGCCTCCAAGCCGATGTTGGGGGACGTAACCGATGACGACCAGGTCCTTGGAAGACCAAGGGGTGGAGTTCGAGCCCGGAACCCACACGCTCCTTGGCCGGACGGTTCTCCCGGGAGGATGAAAGACGTGTCTTTTGGGTTCAAGAAAATCCACGATGGTCCCTTGCAATGTTGATTGGACATCCGAGGCACCAGCAAGAGTATGTTGCGCAACTGAGGGATGTCTTGAAACAAGTGTCGTGAAGCTCTGCCCAACTATGGAACAGATCCGTGGACTTCGCTTAGCGCAGTGGATCCCGGGATCCACTCTGTTACTGTTAGGCAATCAGTGGTTCCAAGGACTGTCCAAGGACTGTTCAGCCATGTTCAGCCGTTTGAGAACCCTTCCGATCGGTCACTGGGTGCGGATCCGATTCGCTGGACGCTGAGGTGTTGGGCCTTTCATGGATGCAACAACGAAGCGCTGGAGTTCGGTGCTCGGGACGTGGCGCAACGAGCCCGCGCTCGTGCCCGCGTTCGTTCGGTGCGAGGGGTGGTGCTGGTCTCAGCATGTCTCAGCAGCCACCCAACAGAGTGCAGTCTTTTTGGCACTGGAGATGGATGAGAGATTCCATAAGCTGTAAATATTGAGGAATTTCTATATTCAGTTTTTAAGGGCCATTCCATCATCAAATTCTTCGCTTTCTACGTTATATTTCACTTAATAATTTTAGCATTTCATGGTCATCACGGAATCAAGTCTGAGATTTCTCTCCGCGGCAGATTCGAGGGAAGCAGAGTGCGACCGAAAACTGTATATATATAGCGAAGATGTAGGAGAGGGTACAGAGGTTATGACAAAGGATACGGACATGTCCTAATAGCCTACCACCTATAATGATAACTAACAAATAAACGCGGGACCTTTTTGTAGGAATGTTGCATCAGGAAGGACCCTTTACAGACCATTTTCAGCGGATCATTCCCGAATCTGAATCACATCTGGCTCTCCCGTCTTTACATGTCTTTACCCCATGCGGTGGCGACCTGAAATGTGGGTTCACGCGCTTCAGGTCAATCATCAACAACCCGCTCTCGGGCTTCCAGCCATTGGCATCAGGCCACTTGTCTTGATCCAAGCGGTTTCATTTTTCATACCTTATCAGTCTCATGGGAACGTGGCTCCCGGAGATTCTAAAGGCATCCAATTCAAAGGATCAGTTTGTGTCTCTTTTATTGCTGAAGTTTCACCACGCTTTTCCTTGGATCGCCTCCATGTTCGCCAAGCTGCCAGGAAGCCGCAGTACAACGCTTTGGGGCTCTGGCACCTATTTTGCTGCCCGGAGATAAGTTTAGAGAAACGGGCCGGGACGCGTGGTACGGAATGCCCTGTGTGCTGAAACAGCTCCGTTTTGGGGAAGCCAGGCAGACGGCGGAAATTCAGGGTCTGTTGCGAAGTCGTGAGACAAGTGAAAAACAGGACCTCACAGCACCCCAAAAGGCATCACATCCCATGTGTTATTCTTTTTGAATGGGAACGAGACACCTGTCTCTTTCGGGAACGAGACACCTGTCTCTCAGGCTCGAGACGCCAAGTACGTGGCTGATGGTGGCTTCTGTGGTACGCCTGACATGAACGGCAGTCGGAGGAGACCGGATGGACAGCCGCGACTCAGCTGAGTCGCGAAGGTGGCCGAACCTGGCATGACAAGTTGACAGATTTACATAGATTATCATAGATTTACATCCCTCAGCTTACAAAAACGACAGTGGAGACCCAATATGATATCATGCTTATTAGGCAAAACACTAACACGGTATGCCTTTACAACCCGCAGTTTTCAAACCTCCAAGTTTGGGTGGTTTTGCTTAATACAAGCTTTCGTGCTTGTCTCAGCACCTGGCAATCGCCCCACGGGAAGCTCTTCCGGGAAGCTCGGATTTTCTCCGCAGGATGCTGATGTGCCTGCTGATCATGGGAATGCCCTGCTTGGGGGATCCCACTCACAAGGCCACGTGCTCCGAGTCGCAGGGCGCCGCGTTTCTCTACTCCACTCGCAGGTTGGACCACACGGCCGTGCCACAGTGGTCCACGGCGGGTGTTTTCATGTTTTGTTTTTTTTCCGATTCGCAGATCTTGTCAGTTTTGGCCAAGAACGGGACCAAGTGCCAAGAAGTAAGTGCCAAATCGATTCCAAGGTGAGGTGGTCACAATGAGATATGCTGGGACAGTCCAAAAGAATGACTTCTTAGATTGTGCAACATCGGGTCAGAGAACTTAGTGTATATAAGTTGTTCCAAAATAAAATTAGTCTATATATAATTATAAATACATGTCCATCAATAATAGTACCCTTCGCAAAAAATGTCAGCTGGGGGCCTCAATCCAGCCAGGAACACAAGACTGTGATCAGACTGGTCTTCCGTGATCAGACTTTCTTCTCGGTACACCGGTGAACTGGTCATGGTCTCGGCACTCACAGGGCGTGCTGCCTTTCCGACACAAGCCGCCGCGCGGGGGCTAAGTGTCCATGACGACACGACCGTGGAAGGCGGCCAAGCAAATGCAGACTTGTGGTGATGACCTTTGCTCATCTACATGTAGGGTGAGACAATGACTTGGGATGACCCAACTAATGATTTGTTCATCCCCGCTTGAAATCAGACTTAAGATGCTTTAACTGCTGTGGGTCAAGCTATGCACTGCTCAGCTGCACTTAGTGCAGTGCGGCTTTGGTCAATGGACAGGTTGCTGATGCTCACATATCATTGACCTGCCAAGAATTTCTGAAGAACATAATAAGCTCGATTCCTGTGGAGGGCCAACGTGGGACAGCCATGTTCTCAACCAATTTGGCAGAGGCCAACAAAAGGGCCCAAATCTGGTGAGTCTGAACTTGGGTTGAAATCGCTCAAGTGCTGGTCGCGTCCTCCCAGGCATCGGTACCATAGCTCAGTGGATTGCCTTGCAAGCCCTGAAGTCATGGTGGTGCCTGGGCTGAGACGTTGAACCGTTGAACCTCACCGGGCTGGGACCGCGAACGAGCCCTTTTTCGGCGGACACATACCAACAACCTCTTGGCCACCCCGGACCTCTGGAACTTCCCGTTGATTGTGGGCCTCAACCATTATAGACATACCAACAACAAGTCTTTTTTTTTGCAACCGAATGTGCTCTGAACTGTTGAATCGCAAGGTTACCAACAGTTTTTTGGAGAAGAACCGTCAGCATTTGTCAGCCCGCTCTCCGGATGGGTTCTCACGCCGGATGGGGTTCAATACTGGCGAACTGATTTGGTGGGATCTCAAGACGAAGAATTTCGTCGAGCCGCGGCTCGAATGCATAGCACCCATTGTTTGCGTGATACGCAAGGCTTGTGGCTGTTTGAGATGGGACAAAGCCACTAACCTGGCCGGTTGGAATCCAAGAGGACTGGAGGATCCACTGAGCTGCAGGTTCTTCAGGCCAACGACTCCAACGACCACCAAAATAGTTGCCTTCTTTACGCTCAAGAGTCAGATGTCGATCGATTCTGTACTGCAGTGATCTTCACTTCAAACCTTTTGCTATACAAGTTAGGATTTTGATGGAATCACATGGGGCTTAGGGTGTCACCCAGGGTGTCGCCTGGTCTGTGTGGAGCGGTATGCGCTCCTCCGAGCGGCACCCCCGCTCTCAGATCCAGCAGTCCGGGGCAGCGATGCCCGCCTACGCCTCTTGGCCGACAAGCAAAGTGCTGGGAGGAGAGGAGCATTTGACGGGATTCTGATATATATATATATACATTAAGGTAAATAGAACAGGTATGATCTCACATCCTATTTCGTTTGGAATCCAATTCCCCAGCGTTTTCCAAAGGGTGGTTGACTTCATCTTGGTGGAATTCTTTTTGGACGTTTCGAAGGACTACTGGGAGGGGAAAAAGCTGGTAAAAGGGGGGTTCTAGGGAGGATTTGTTGGTGTGTTGCTTGTTATGATTTTTGTGTGTTTTCCTTGCTGTTGATGTTTTATGTGTGGGGGGTTCTGGGTTTTTTGGGGTTCTAACTTTTCTGGGGCACATGGTTTTAAGATGAGGTGGCTGATTGTTGTTGCTGTTCTGTTTTGTTTCGGGGGTTGGGGTTCAATGTGTGTTCGTTGGTTTTGATGCGTTCTGGGGAGTTGTTAGGGGGTGGTTTAGGGTCTTAACTTTCACTTCATTGTTTGGATTGAATGAAGGGGATAATTGTTGAGGTGCCCTAAAGGGATAAAGTGTAAGTGTAATCCGTGTAGTTTCAAAATCAGCAAGAGCGATAAGACTATGAGCGTCAGCAGGGATGACAACGGAGACATCAAACTAGACACTGAAGCACATAGCATTTCCTTTTCGTGGAACCGCCAAGTTACGCCAGAAGACAAGGACAAAGAAAGCACTAACCGAATGATAAGCAATGTAATGCGCACACCAAGAAGTGGCAAAAAACAAACATCAATACAAGATATGGACTGATAAATAATTAGATATCTAAATAGATATTTAAATAAATAATCATAGTTTATTATATATATATAGTCATGACGGATAGGTGAAGATGAAGTTATATAATAAAATGGATGAACTGATAAAGAAACAGAATAGATGTAATAGCAATGTTGAATCAATACTAGAAATGTTAAAGAAGGTGGATGAGAAGAAGGAAAGCAAAGAAACCACCGACTAAAGAAAGTCAATGGGAAGACCTGTGGGAGACTTTGAAACAAACAGAAAGCAGTATCTGGAAATGTTGAATTCCAAAAGAATAAAACAACCGAAGGAGACCACCATACAATACTATAAGATTGACTGTGATGAGAACACGGAAACATACTCATAATGATATATTTTCTATGATAATATATTATTATGAAATTATTAGAATTACTTAGTGGAACAGGTAGTGTCGGTCGTGTTGCCCGTGAATTTGGTTTTAGTGTCATATCCTTGGATTTGAAGAACGCTAACATCAATGAAGATATATTACAATGGGACTATAAGAAGTATGACAAAGACTTTGACATAATTTGGGCAGCAGAGCAAAAACCATGGGAGTTAGAAAGATAGATTATGCGAGCAGCATTGTCAGGAAAACTATTGAAATCATTGACTATTTTCAACCGAGAGTGTTTTTCATAGAGAACCCCCAGACGGGACTTTTGAAGGAACAGGACTTTATGAAAGACTTTGATTACTATGATGTGGATTATTGTAAGTGTGAGTTCAGACGCTGTCGAACTAGGTTGACAGACTTTGCTCGACCGCAGGGCGGGCTTAAGATGCCAGAAAAGGCGCGCGGCCGTGGTCACTTCGGTGACCTTCCAATTCGCTTGTGTTTGATCCTTTGGTTCACTCACTCTACACGTAGTTCTTCGGACACTTCCTCTGTTTTGACATTGGTAGCGGAGCCCGAGCCCTTCCAGGGCGAGGGCTCCCGCTGCGGACTTCGCTTGAACGAGCTGAGCGCTCTCCACAAGACCTTGGTCACCTACCCCTTGCCGAGTTTGTTACGCTCCTCTCACCCGACCTCTTTGAACAACACCTTTGAAGGAGGGGCTACATCGTGTTCTTTGACCTCGGGGATGTCTCAAAAGAAAGGTCAACAGAAGGGGAAGGCCCAGGGCTCCGGAACCAGCTCGACCGAGGACACCTCCTACACTGATGTCCGTGACAGCTATTTGCCACTGTTCAGCGGTCAGCCTTCTGACTATCGTGAATGGCGCCAGCGAGTGCAGCTCTACTACCGGAAGATGACGCTGGCAAAGAAGGCAAGTGAGGGGGTCCTCAACATCGTTGGGAGCTTCAAGGGGGTGGTCTGGCGTTTGTTCGAAGATTGGCCTTTGGACCACTTCGACAAGGACGATGCCTTCGAGACCATGTTGAAGATACTGGACAGCAACTTCTCGTACGACCAACGAGTCCAGCTTCCTTCAGACTTCGAAGGATACTTCAACCTCCTCCAACGTGCTCCAGGTCAAACACTCCTGACCTATGTCAACGATCATGAGGAGGCCTACAGGAAACTCCTACAACATAAAGTATCCCTTCCTGAATCCGTTCAAGGGTGGCATCTGCTGCGTCGAGCCGCCTTGACGAAGGAACAACGACAGCTGGTCACACTGAAAGCGCCCACATTAGAGAAAGCCGCGATCATCGAAGCCCTCTATCTCCTGTTCGGCCAAGACTACAAGGCTGGCGGCTGGAATCATGATCGCAATAAGCGCTTCCAGAGGTGGGGCAATAGCAGTCGGGCCTATGCTGCACAAGATGAATGGTGGGAAGGTGAAGACTCAGGCTGGAACGATGAAACCGGCGACTATGAAGTCGATGAACAGGTGGCAGACTATGACTATGACTACGAGGAGGAGGAGTTCGACGCCGACGCTGCCTACTATGGTGAAGACCCCTGGCCAGAGGAGCCTGAGGAGACTGGCAGTCCAGAACGCCTTGCTGATGAGTACGACACGGCGTTCGCCTCCTACACCGATGCCAGGCGCAGGTTCAATGAGTTGAAGATGGCTCGAGGTTTCTTGCCAGTGGTCGCCCTCACGGACAACAACCAGCAACCTGTCATGGCCAACTCTTCATCCTCCTCGAGCCCCTCGCACTGGCAGAAGAAAGGAAAAGGCAAGGGCGGCAAGTCAAAAGGGAAAGGAAAACCAAGTGCCACCATCCGATATCCACCACAAGGTGCTGGCAAAAGCGATCCCAAGGGCAGAGCTAAGGCCAACGTGACCTGCCTCAGGTGTGGACAGCAGGGTCACTGGGCAGCCAACTGTCCCCAAAGCGCCTCAAAGGGCACTGGTCTCAAGCGCCCAGCCCCCACTGAGGGTATGGCGCAGGTTCTGGAGAAGGAGCAGGGCATGATCATCTTTGAAGAGCACAACGGGCAGCAACGCCCTGATTGTGTCATGTTGGATCCCGGTGCGAGTGCCTTCCTCTCAGGTTATGGTCCTTTCCGCCGCTTCCTGCAGCACCTGAAGGATGACTGCCAGTTCCCGATCGACAAGATCAAGATGACCCGTGGCAGACGCCGCTTCCAATTCGGCGGTGATGCAGCTTCCTGGTCGACTTGGAGTGCACATGTGCCTGTGTTCCTGGACGGTCGATATGGTACCGTACAGCTGTTCTTGCTACCAGGTCATACACCAATGCTATGTGGACGTCCCATCATCGAGGCCATGGGCATGACGATGGACTTTGCGCTTCGCAGGGTTCGCTTTGGATCTGGTGGCTGGCGACAGGCTACGCTTGGTCGGCAAGGTGAGTACCTTTTGTCACTCACCGATGAGCACTCCCTCGTTGAATATGACCCGGAGCAACCCGAGTACAGTCTCAAGACTGCTGAAGCCGATCTGGACCAGGAGGAGGACATTCCACTGGCAGTGTTTGAGGAGGAAGAGTCGGGCTTCTCTGTCACTGAGCCTGAAGCTGATCAGCACCACGCCCACACCAAAGCACTTCGGCGACATGATCTCAGGACCATGGACATCCACCTGAACACTCATTTGAATGAGCTCACAGCCTATGTCACCAAGCAACTTCATCCAGCAGAACCTCGACGAAAGCTGTGGGAGGTGTACTGCGGCGCCTCACGCACTTCTCCAGTGGCGGAGACTCTCGGCATGGAGGTTCGACAGTTTTCCTATGAGACTGGTTGGGACTTTAACAGGTTGGATCACCAGAGCGCCTTCCTGCAACTACAAGATGAAGAATGTCCTGACGAAGTTCTCTTGGCACCTGAGTGCAAGCTCTGGAGCATGATGCAATCCCTTGGAAGACGCACTCCGGCTCAACAGGAAGCCCTCCGTGCTGCTCGACAACATCGTCGCGATCGTCACTTGATGTTCGTTCGAAGGGCCTATCTTGGACAAGTGCTCAATGGCCGCCATGGACACATTGAACAGCCCAAGCACGCGCTTTCCTGGCGCACTCGTGCCTTGAGGGACCTTCCCGGCCGTCGAGCTGACTTCGATCAATGTCGCTATGGGGCAGCCTGCCTGGACACTGATGGACAATGGAGGCCCGTCAAGAAGAGCACGTCGCTGCTTACTACCAAGCAGGCCCTCCAAGATGTCATGACGCTTCAATGTCAAGGAGATCACCAGCACTGTGCCCTGGAAGGCCATGCCATTGGCTTCGGATCTCGCACCAAGTACTTAGGAGGAGTACCAACCGGCACTTGCTGCCACTCTGGCAGGTGCGATGGCTGTTGAAGAAGCCCCACAGGCTTGGGAGGCCGGCTTCATGACTGCAGAGCAGAAGATTGTGACGGGCAATCTGATTCGCCTTCGCACCACCGTCAAGCAGGATGCCATCAGAACTGTTCATCGACTACATCGCAACCTTGGACATCCTGGACCCACTGAACTGGCCGAGTTGCTTGCGACAAGAGGAGCCAGTGAAGAGGTGATAGAAGCAGCTCGGAACTATGTATGCTCTGCCTGTGCGAAATATAAGAAGCCTGGAGATGCCGCCCCGGCAGCCATGCCACAGACTGCCACCTTCAACCAGATTCTCCAAGCTGATGTGTTCTGGATCCGAATGGGCAAGGACAAGTATCCAGTTCTCAGCGTGGTTGACATGGCCACTCGCTACACCTCTGCCCACTTGCTGCGGAACGAACAGTCTGAGGAGTACATCAAGGCCTTGGAACGATGCTGGCTCTCCACCTTCGGTCTACCACAACGTCTCATCACTGA